TCGGCCTCGTGGTCTAAGCTGTGCAGAACGGCCTCGGCTGGCGTAATCTCTCTCTCTCTCTCTCTCTCTCTCTCGGAGACGCGTGTGTGACGCGCGTAACTTTAAACCTCGCAGCGCGAGCAGTGTCGTGTGTTTTTCCCCTCCCCCCCAACCCCCCTCATAATTCGGATATCGATATATCGAGCAGTTTTGCTATTTGGGTTAGTTCTTAGCGCCCCTGGACGGCGCTTTAGACAATTCACGATATAGGTCAATCGATAAAACGCCTTCCACCTTGTGCCGCCACGAAGGTACGTTCGATCCTTTCCCTTCGCGCGATATGTCCGGTTTCGTCTCTCTCGTTGAGATGACGTTTAAGTAGATGCCACCCCCACCCCCACCCCACCCTGCGATAAGCTGCGGGCTGAAGAATTAATTAAATGCAAGACCTCTCGAAATGTTGCTCTCAATGTCACGTTCCTTCGGTACGAGCCGGTGCGCTCTCTTGGCTCACGCACAATGTCGAAAGGAGGGAGCAATAGGCGCGCGGATAAATATTCATAGAAATACGAATGCGTGTAAACGCAGCTCTGCGAGATTCTCTCGGAACTTACAAAAGTCGATGTCTAAATTATTGTAGACCACAGGAGGAGTCTGCCTCTTGAAATTTATCAGAGATTGTAAAGAGATTACCGAGGATGATCGAAGAGAGCTACCTATCGAGGAATTAACAATCGACTTTGACATTAACGACGGGATGTTCTCTCCCTCTATCGCCACTTAACGTCGGCTCCTCCACTGCGAACGCAAGGTCCTCCTCCGTCTAAAGCGAAACAGGTACAAGTTCAAGCCTCGCAGGGAAAGAAACCGAGTGCAGAAAGTGCAACTGAAACGAGCAACCCGCAGCGAACGATCGTGCGCGCGCGCAAGAGAGAGAGAGATAAAGAGAGAGAGAAAGTAAAGAAGTAGTAACGAAGCTTTTCTCCTCGATACAACCGTCCATGTTCTTAATCAAACCTTTACCTTGACTACTTGTGGATTCCACGAAACCGTTCTTTATCGCGCAACGTGTCGCAACCGTTTGCCGTGGCATTTATCGCATTCGTTACGTTTGCCGCGATAATCGATGATAATCTGGAGAGCGTTAATAACGAGAGAAAGGGGTCGCGAGAGATAACCTGATCGCACGTCGAATTATTGTTACGACAAATAACATTTTCGAGTGACAATCTCTCTCGTTTCGCGGATATATAACATCCGATGCTTCGCGCCACGTGGCTCGCGCTAGCGGCCAGGTTAACCTAAACCTGACGTGACGTAACCTAACCTAACCTAACCTAACGCAACGTCCAGCTCGACCTAACCTTCCTTGCGCTCTCGTTCGGGTTCCTCGCGTGCAGTGCCGTAGCGCTTCGGCTCGGCGCATTTAGCACGTTCATCAAGTCGCATGGGATCAAAGTCAATTCGAAATCACGTACGTTGAGGCTGCACCGTATAATACCACGTCACAGCACGCCGCACCGCGCACGATACCGTCCCGCGTCAAGAGAGAGTGAGAGAGAGAGAGAGAGAGAGAGAGAGAGAGAGAGAGAGAGAGAATCGGAGTTCCGATGAAGTGGGTGGGGTATTAGAGCTGCATACGTCATTCTCCACCGGAAATGACGTACGAGGCCAGGCGCGGCCCGCTGCATTCTGGATCGTGTTCTCTAGGCCATTCTCTCTTCCTGTTCGATCTCGCGAGTTGGTGATAGGCTCGTAAAACCAGCGTGTTGAGATCTGTTTTCGTTGGTACAGCCATCTAACTCTTTCGCGTGGCTTTTCGCGCATGAGTCTCGTTTCGTGGATCCATTAATGCTGCAACGGGGGTAAGACGCAGATTTTGTTTAAATAATTAAATCTCGTTTTTTCTCTCTCTCTCTCTCTCTCTATATATATATATATATATATATGGGTGTGTGTGTGCGTGTGTGTAAAACACGTACACATGCATATATTTATTTATTTATATTCTTATTTAGCAAGCCTTCGAAAAATTGTCTGTAGCAATAAAGACTAGCAATAAGAAAATTAGCAACGGAACAAGAACCTTCACTATATGTGAAATTTAAGATATATGTGAAAGAGGAATGCTCTTCTTTTCCCGAACGCCAAGTTGTCGCGGCGACGCCGTTCGCGTGTTTAATTTAGCAACCTCGTTTCATAAAGACGCACGAAAAATGTTAATTAAGTACGCAGCTTGTGGATGAGTGGTGCTCGCTGTCGAGGTGTCGCTCCTGTATCCTTACGAATCAATGGCGCAAGCACAGATGGCGACAGTGTTCCCCGGTCCCTGCCCACATGTGCAAAGATGGCCGCCCGCGAGGTTGGTCCATCAGTTAGTTCGCTAACGTTCAAGAATCGTTGTCGCATCTATGTTGTCTCGTCGTAACGACATCCCGCTGAAAAATCTGAAGAAAATCGTGGAACTCACGAGAACGGTTTGAGGTGAACGGCTTCGTATCCGCAGTGCGACACACCATAGTGTAAGAAACGATACAAATTTTCCAGCAATTCCAAGTGCATGTATACCTTCTCTCGCTCTCGTATTCTTTTACCTGTTCCCTTCCTCCCCCTCTCTCTCTCTCTCTCTCCCTCCTCCCTCCAACGTCCCTTTCCATCTCGCTCGCGTGATTGTAGCAACGTTTGGAATTTTTCACCAAGGCGGCAAGATATTTTCCATCGTGCGCGCGGCGATTTTTCCTGTCTCTAGTGAATCGGACGGACATCGCGACGGAGAAGCCGTTGTCCTCGTGACGAAAGATCGAGGAGCAGTAACGTAATCGGTGGACGATTTACCTTGCGTAAAATGAGCCTCTGGTGTTGAGGAGGCGCGCGTGTCTACCACGTGGTTTACTGCGAAGTGTTATTCGCCCGCTTTTCCGTGAATATAATCTCCGAGCACAGTTCGTCGTGAAAAAACGGCGCAAAACTGGGAACGTGGCACGCGATAAACGCGCGAAGACCTTATCAAGATACGATAGAAACGCTGCCGAGGGAGGAAGCAGTCTCTCGTATATACTTATCTATGCTGTGTAAGCTTGCGATTAGCGCCGAGCGTTAGTTAATAGTCGTTGCCGTATGTCCCCAGATTTTGTAAGCGTGTATGTATACATAAATATTTCATCATTTTTGAACGGGCATATTGCGTTTGTACCTCGTTACTATCGTTTCCTTCTTCCCCTCTCTGTATCTTTGGTTCAATGAATCCTATTTTTTTCGCAGATGCGGACGTTGCGTCGCTAAATCCGAAATTATTCGCAATTCGCAGCGAGATAATCCCAAGACACATCCGGCACGACGCACTCGCAAATAAGATTGATCAATCTAAACATGATATGATTCATTTCTCTTCCCGTTGTGCGCGTCTCGAGTAAATGGTCAAAGGAATTCTTGTAGAAACTTTCGTCCATCTACGAGGCAAATATTTAAATAGCGAAAACCAATGATTTATAATCTGTAGCGGAAAAGAATTCGTGTATATATCTGGGCATATTTGTATGACATAGTTTTGTTTCGTCTTAAGATTCTTTATTTTGCGTACATGGATATATACATACATAATTTACATACTCATTATGGATATATGGATTTATATATTATATAATATTACATAATAATATATATTAATCCATTTCTTAATCCATAATAATAATAAATATATAAATCTATTTTAAAGTTCTCAAATTTGTGCAAATATACATACAGAGATTTATATATTTATTGTTTAATGTGTATTAAAACGTGGACAATGCTATATATACCTACCCACGCGCGCATTACAATGTATACAACTAATATGTTAGAAAAAAAGTTACATGAGGGACGAAAACGTGTAAAATGTATAGAATTTTATATTATCTATCGCAAATTATAGCATTGTCCTTGCGATTTGATTTTACGTTCAATTTTATTGCTTTACGCCTGTCACGACATATCATATATATTGTAAAAGCGAGTAAACGGCGCGATTGTTATTTTAACATGAGTTAAACATGAGTCATCATGATTACGCAATAATCGTATTGTCTACATCAGATGTTATATACAATTACAATTATCATACGTTCTAACGGTTAAGTTGCATTCTTTGTTGCAGGATCAGACTTTCATGTACCTGGACAAAATTACGGCGCCCAACCAGGGGGCCAGGTGGGTGCAGGAGGGGGTAGTGTAGGAGTACCTGGGGGCCGAGGTCCACCACTTGGCGGTATACAGACGATAGGACAATCGGCAGCAGGTATACCGCCAGGAGGTCCTGCCGGGGCTCAAGCGCCTTCGCAAGCTCCTGCACCTGGGGTCCAGGCACAACCACCTCAAGGACCAGCCCCGACAACGACGCCCCCTGTCCATACACAACCCCAGGAAATGGGCAAACAGGCACACTTGCAAACGCAGCCACCCTCGTTGCCGCAAGTGTACGTGCAGACTCAGACAAGGCCGACCAACCAAGTACGTAATCGCCGATTGAATCCACTCGGCAATGGCTTTCCGATATTATGATTTGCTTTTCTTTTATTTATTACTTATTATTATATATTTGTATCTTTAGAACGCATTTTTTATGGATGCCTCGCAGGGCTATTATCCTGGTCCTAGACCGCAACAACAAAGAGGTCTTAACCATAGAGGGGGCCAAGGTGCTAGCGGCACGCCTGTAGTCGGGATGGCTAGTGTAGGTGGAGGCGGAGGACAACCGACTGCCATATACCCACATCCAGCTAGCTTGACGGTACAGGCAGGCGCAATGTACGTGCAAAGTCAAGTCCCCGGACTGCACACGCCGCACCAGCAGTCCGTCTACCCTATGAACAACCAGTTGCCTCTACAGGTACATTAATGTGTTTTCTATATTAACGATATTTGCTGTACGTTTTGTGTTTGTAGATGTGTTGTTTCGGTGTCTCGTAATTTGCATTGCATTTGAATAAAGATGTAAATCACACATTTTTGTATATTTGCAGTTCCCCCCACCACAAAGACATCAAGCTCATCAGAATCAGTCGTATTACCAATTCCAACATGCCCCACTTTTAACGCCGCCAAATGTGTTCGGATATGCCCATGCGCCGAGTCACCAACCCACTGGCTGTAAGTTATACGTTTCAGGTTTGCGTCGCGATTTGTAATTTAGTTGTACACTCCTGTGTCTCAGGAGTAACGCAATTCTTTTTTTTTTTTCCTGCGTGCGACAGATTATTATTCACCGTCAAATACGATGAGCTTGACCAGGGCAAGTGCTGCAAGTGCCGTTAGTGGTGGAGCGCAGCATGTCGCTGGACCTCTAGCTGGTGCTCAGGGTGCTCCGGTCGTACCGCAGGGTACACTGCAGCAACCTACTCAACAAACGCAGACTTTGCCTCCCATGGGTATACCTCTTACACAGACTGGTATGTAGTCCCACTCGACATGGCATAATTATTCATTATGTTGATTAACACGTTGCATGTTGTACTCATTTCTTTCTCTCGTATTCACATCATGGCGATCGTCCTTGTATCTATATTGTTTAAATATCTTATCCGAGGATCGTGTATCAATTCGTGACATGAACTTTTTGTCTCCTTTAATTGGTTCTCTGCGTTGCTCGTGCTTTTAATCTAGAACATACACAGTTTTATGAGTAAATTGATGGATCAATATTGTGGCGTCGATGATTATCACGGCAATCAGCGTGTTAATTTACCATTAACCCATGGATGATGGCTCACCTGACGATTGACGCCTGACAATTAACGCACAGTGGCCGTTTTATTCGGATGGAATTATTTTACGATAAAGTTTCTTATATTTTGTGCAGAATAGGCTTTTGATTAAGCTTTGATCTTATTGTATTCCGTTACTTATTATCTGTCTTTTTTAATCCTACTGTAGATTCTAGGTTAATCCTACTGTAGATTCTAATTGTATAAAAATGTAAAATTTGTAAATTTTTTCTTTTTCAAAGAAAATGGCAATTTTCTTAATTATTAAATATTACTAACATTTTTCTTTGAGGAGAACAAACATATAAATCTTTTATATCTTATATTATAATATATTATAATAAAATATTATATTATATTAATTATATTTCTAAAAAGATATTTTATTATATTATAATAAAATATCTTTTTAGAAATTAAAAAGTTGAGATATATACATTGATTGGTAGATCCGAATAAAACTGATATCCGCTTTGCGAGGGTTATATTTTGGAAAAGAAAAAAAAATAGGTAATCGCTGAAAAGCGGTTTGTCATATCCGTGACTTTCATTTCATACGTGGGTTTTGTTGGTGTGACTTCTAGTTCCTTGGCAAATGAATTCTCGTTTCGTTAAAGACGTATATGCAGCCCACAACGGTGGTCCAACAAACGCTACTAATAGCACCACAAGATCTCGGAAACCGAGAGGACAGAATGCGATTTTGGATATAGTGAATCCACTGACCGGCAAGAATATAAGTGATGAGATATACAAGGATAACGAAACTACTCAGAGTGGTGAATCTAGTAATCGCGAGACGCCACAACCACAGGTGAGTTACGTCGAATTACTATATACTGACAATTGACTAAGAGAGCTTAAGTATACAATGAAGCTATGTTTCGAATAGCCAAGCATGTAAAGAGTATTTATAAAAAATATTCGTGAAAAGTATTTAAATATCGTGAACATAGAAAATTACAAGAAAGAAAAACTGATTCTTGTAATATTTATCTCTTTCTCTCTTCTTCTCTGTCTTTTCTCTCTCTCTCTCTCTCTCTCTCTCTCTCTCTCATAGTCAATTGTGTTTGTACTCGTATCTGTTTATCCACATGAGTCAAGTCCTCTGACAGATCGTAAAAATCGTCGTATTTAGAGAAACATCCGGATTTAGAGATTATCCGGTCAGGCTAAAATTAGAAAGCACGGCTGATGAAGCATATATTCCTTCATAAGTGAATGAGGAGAAAAAAATACTTGAATACTTTGACTTTAGATACATTAAATACGTTAATTAAGGAAAAAAGGTTTTCTTATAGATACTTTGTTTGATACTTTGATCTGACACCGATTAAGCGCGCGCGCGCGCACTACTTTAATTGCGCGCGGATTGTAATTAAAAATTTAACGAGCACTTGACGACTGATGGAGCGACAGATATGAATTTGTGTCTTGAAGATTTGTTTCGTTTATGTAAGTCCTTTTGTTTTAATTTCTCTCGCCCTATGATTTGAGTTTGGAGCCAGTTTTTAGTTGTCAAACGTAATGCACGAATGAATAGCACGTGTCACCGTCTATCACGCAGATTTGGTGATTGTTACAGAACAATGGTGCGGAGGTGATAGCCGATTTCGCGGCTCGCGTCGCGAAAGCCGCGACCGAGGAGTCCGATTCAGGCTCAACGGTATCGGCAAGCGCGTCCGATACTACCGCCAATACGGCTCAAACGGCAACGGCGCAAAGTTTATCAAACGTCCAAAATAATTCCAGTAACGGCGCGAATAGTCAATATAATACCAATTCGTCTTCAGCTACGCAAAATGTAGCTGGCGGTGTGGTATCTGCGATAAATAGTCAATCGTTAGGTACTAGTAACAAAGCGCAAGTAGACTCTACCGTGGCTAAAATGGAGTCGAAGCCACTGCAACTCCCCGTGAAGGAGTTCCAGCCTAGGAGTGAAATAAAAAATACGACGATCGAGGAATCGTCAGCTGTCGTTCCAGCGGTGGTCGCTGTCGCGAGCAAGGATACTGTTCCCGTGTCAACCGCTAATACCGGAACAGTAACGGCAACGGCGGCGGCCACAACGGCGACGATCGCAACGACGGCCGCCGAGACCCAGCCTGAGGCTGTTGGGTCCGGTCCTGGTCCCATCATGAGCTCTGAAGTAGCCAAGAGCAGCGCTAATGCTTCGCCTAATGTAACACAGACGGCAGTTACAACCTCCCATTGGAGCGTACCACCGAACCTGAACATTGGCCAAGACATCGCTAAACCGTCCGCCACTGCCCCGGGTGCTAACCCCGTTCCTGCCCGAGAACCGTTTCCCAATCTGTCCGCCAAGAACACGTCGAATTCGCCGCCGAGGAGGAAATCGCAGAACCATGCTCACAGTCAGCCTAATGCTACCGAGCTGCCCTCGAGTGCCAAAGAGCAGAAAGGAGACAGGAAAACCCGGGAAAAGAGTCTGAGTTCGCGAGGTGGTGCTGCTTCTTCCACGCCTGTTCATAATCAGCAGGCGGATCACCATCACCAGAAAGCGAATGGTGACGCGGTTGGCCAGAAAGCCGAGACGGAGAACCTCCCCAGGAACGAGGCTCAGCAGCAGAAACCAGTGGACAGTGAGTATTTCATTATCAGCCATTACTTTATTACTTACAGTTTTCTTTCTTTTTATGATACATATACATATTGATCAAATGGGGCTACTCGTGCGCGGGGCTACGGGCGACTCTGTTTCAACAGCCTCATTTTACTTAACATCTCAACACTTGTGGCGTCTGGGCAGCGCGGAGTAATCTCAATTATTTCGTTCGTTTATCTCTCGTTTTACGTCACGCGATATTGAATGATGTCATTTTACTCTCACGGGCTTTAAATCACCCGTGTCACAAATTTCCACCTGACGTCTTTTATAAACATGGAGATATCGTATATTTGAATTGCAAAAAAAACGCATATTTCCCTTTCACTCTCTCGCTCTCACGGTTACCTATATCGATCTTTTACCACGTGAAAGAACAAAAAGAATGAGTGAATCGACATCTATATGTGAATGGCACGTGTGCCGCTGGATGATATTAACATATATGTCTGTTTGCGACTTTCATTCTCTCAAGTGTGTGTGTGCGTGTGAACCATTCAATTTCGCACATCGATGCTAGCAAATTTGGATTTAGGTGAAAGGAGAAGAGTTAGAAAGAAAGAAAAATGCAAAAAGCGCGCAAACAAACGGGGTGGAGGGGGGAAATGCACACCGGTTATGCCTGGATGGGCATAGCCTTGAACGAGTTTGCCCAAGGATACGACAAGTGGCCTCTCTCTCTGTATTTCTCTCTTTCACCCGCGATGGGAAATTCACCGGCGTCACAATAATTGCACAGAATTGTTATCGGTTACACGAGCGGCCGACGTAACTGACGAATGTGATTTGTTAAGGAAACCAGTGCATTCTCAAACGCCCGCACGCGGCTGCTTGAACTTTGTGTCACGCGACTCGCGATAGCATTGTGATATAGACGTGATCCTACAGTCTGAAACTTTCAACAGGGTCCTTTTAGTGCGCAGTAGCACTGAATAATCTCTCGATCGAATTGAATCGAGAGCGATTCCGCGATATTCTTCTCCCTTCTGGAATTTTATCATTATCTATCTCTGTTGCCCGTCAATAACCTTTAACGTTGCATTTCTTTTTATATCGTAGCAACTTTTTCTTTTTATCGTTAACCACGATTTACACGGTCTTGGTGTACCGAACGGTTAACGGTTTCGTCAACGGTTAAATTTCATTAGCATTGTCTTTGTAAAATTAACGAGAGAGACTTGTGGTGCAACGTGTCAACGGCCAGTATATCGAGCGCGTATACCTGCGCGCGCATACACGTGTCTGCTTGCAACGTAGTTGCGTCGTCAGTAAATCTCCACTTTTCAGAGAGAGGGCTCCTGCGGTCCTTTTGCACCCTTTAACACTAACCTAACCTAACCTAACCCAACCCAACCCAACCTAACTCTACCTGAGATCCACGAGGAGGGTAGGATTTGTCGCGCAGGCAGTCAGAGCGAGTGTTGCAGCCATTCGTGCTTAAATCCTCGTAGTGTGTTGCATTGAATTTCCGAGACGATCTGGAAGACGATCTGGACAATCGAGACAACGTTCCATGTGAAATCTCATCGTGCAGTGCATTCCTAGACTCAACCGTTGCCAAACGAAAGTGCGATACAAGCAGCAAACTTTCGAAGCTCGCTGTACACCTTGGTTGTTTCAATCCACGTATTCGATTTTGCGTTTATTACGGTTTTACCGCGAACACGTGACTCGTGAATGATATATATATATATATATATATATTGCATTTTAATTGCCGATTTTTTAACCGACTGCCATTACTTTCAATGAAACGTTCTGGAACGCTGCACGTGTTCGGCGTTACTTGTTAAATACTGTGCGATTGAGCGTGATCAATGGTGCATTCGCGCGATTTCTACTGAAACACCGACGACAAACTGTGCTTCGATCCATCATACCTCGTGACGCAAAATGGGGAAGAAGGGTAAGAACATTTTTTTGTTCTTTGCATGCGTATTCACCTCTGCGTGTTTCCTCGATTTCGACCTTATTCGCGCGCTCTTTGTGAGCTTCCATATTTTTCGGAACACGTGGCATATACGGGCTCGCATAGGAAAATTTGTTCTGATATTCCCCGTAAGTACGAGGTGGATTCGCATATCGGGGGTAAAAACGTGAGAACGCGCGCGCGAGCGCGAGCGGGACGGAGAGAGAGAGAGAGAGAGAGCGTGCGAGCGAGCGAGAAACAAGGCATCGATCGCGCTCGTGAAAATGGATGTCGTTCGGACGAGCTCCGGAAGAAAGACGCGTCATTTAGGCTCGGAAGCGTCCTCGAACTCGCCTTCTTCTCGTCTCCTTTCTCCCCGCATCCTATGAATATCTGTCCTTTTCGGGGCGCGCTTTGGTGAAGCTCGTCTTCCTCTTGCACCGTGATCGAAACGTGCGGTAGCGGGACAAGGTGCGGCGAGGCGAGGCGAGGCGCGGCGCGGCGCGGCGCGGCGCGGCGCGGCGCGACGCGACGCGACGCGACGAGCCAAAGGCAGACGGTGACGCGTTTACGCGAAAACTGCCGACGAATCGCGAGGATGCACGAAGCAGGTTAAACGGCGGACTGGTGTGGGACATAGCGAGAGGGGTGGAAGTCTCGGCGACGGCATCGGTCTCTTTCGTCGCCGAGGGTCTCTTTCAGTAGCTAGCACGTGCTCCGCTAGCCGGCGGCCTCGTTCTACTCTCCGCTCTCTTCTGCATCCCGATTCCACCCTCCCCCTTCCCCCCTTTTTGTTCGCGTCCTCATTTTGGTTACGTTTTTTCTCCGAGTGTCTTTTTGCAATTCGCCAATACCACCTCGCCACGCTACGCTTAGAATTTGTACATTCCTTTTAATCATTACTTACGCGTTTTACACGTGCGTCACCTCTCTTTCTCTCTCTCTCTCTCTCTCTCTCTCTCTCGGATCGCCCACGGTAAGAGAGATCGCGCGAACGGTGATCGTTAACGACCGTTCTGAATTCAATTGTACATATATTATCTACGTATATATTTTTTTCTCCTTTTAATTCTTACTCGATCGCGACGAGCGCCCTATACACGCGTCGTTCGATCCCGCATCTGTCCGTTTCTCTCCAGCACCCTCTTTCTCCTCGATCCGTCCTGTGCACGCGAAACCTCCGTGTCTCGCATCGTCTCGTTCGTGTTCGTCACCCGATCGAGAATGCATTTTCGGTGGAGTGCTGAGAAATTTCCTCGTCTTATCGTACGATTGTGAGAAAGCAAGTAAAATAGTGCATCGAGAATTGAGTGCAGAGAGATCAGCTCGCATGATGGAAGAACGAATTTGAATCGAAATGCCGAGGTATGATTTTCTTTTCTTTTTTTTTCTTCTCTCCTTTCCTCTTCCTTTCTTTTCTCGGGCATCTCTCACCGGTTCCGGTGCGGCGTGATAAAAAATGTCGGATGCCTTGGTAGCAACGTGGTTCCCGACATCTTGTAGCCTGCGAGGCAAGTTAGCCGAGAGGTGACGCGAGAGAAGGAGAGAGAGAGAGAGAGAGAGAGAGAGAGAATGTGTGTGAGAAAGAGAGGGAAGGAGACGAGACGGCGCTGGATGCGCGCGCGCGCGCGCGCGCAGGTCTCGGTGTCGCGCTCACGCATCCGTTTTATGGTCATTTTATTTCTTTCATTAGATTTGCAAATTGCACGCCGCATTCACTACGTGGCAGCGCCGTGCGCCGATATTGTACCGCGAACGCGCGGCGCGTTCGTCCTCCGGCCGTCGAATGTCGAAGGTGCTGCTCAAATATGGCCACCCAGATGCGGCCGACGCACACGCGGAGTCACGAGGCGGATCCCCGATTCTCGCTCTCTCTCTTTCCCTCTCTCTCTCTCTCTCTCTCTCTCTCTCTCTCTCTCTCTTGCCACAAGAGAACAAGACCGCTCGTCATCGCGAATCACTTCGAAAAATAAGTATCGCGCGATTCTCCCGGATTCCGCCGAGTGTATGTCGCAACGTTATCGCGGCAGCCTGTTATCTAACCAACTTCTTACCACGTGGATACAAACGAATTTCAGAGTACATTCGGCAAATTCTGCCGAGCGTCTTGCCCAAAGACATTGCCCTCGAAATTGCCGTCGGATTCGTCCCGGAGGATCGCCTCTCATCGCTCGTCGAGTGCGCGCGCGCGAGCGCGATTTAACGGGCGCTCGGGAGGAAAGACGTTACACCGACCACGCGGTCGTGCGTGTGAGGCCATTTTGTGAATGATCGAAAGAGAACGCGCAAGCACCATATTGGTTCGCCAAGGTTCCCTCTCGGTTCGCGTAGCGCTGTCTTTCTCGCACTCCGCTTTGCGAAGTCGCGTTGCGGCGAGAATCGCGTTTCTCTTTATTTCGCTCGACTCTCCGTTCTCGCGATGCCACTTTTGTGCGTTACGACCAAGTGGGATTGCATTTTGCTCAAGATTTATGCTCTCATCGTCTCATGTGCTCATGGGCGACGGTTGTTTTAGCGTTTGGAAAACTGGACTTTATCTCCCGATACGCGTATTCTTTCTCGTGATAAATTTGCTACTCGTGCTCCGCCAAATCCGTGTTCTTCCATTCTACTCGCATTTGCGACTTTTTTTACGTTTCGTTGTTTCTCGGCGCTTCTGCCCGCTCACTTTCCATATGTTGCTTATGTAACTACGCAACTCGAGAGAAGCTTCTCGTTACTTGAGATTGTTCCTGTTATCATAATTATTCCCCTTATCTTGCAACTTGATGCTTCAGCAACAAAAGCTCGATATATATGCAATATCACGAAAGAGATCAATCTTTCCTCAGTTCTTCGGACGCAGAAGGCGCTTTTCGCTCGTTTAGTTTCTCCTAACATCGGAGGAAGATAGAGATTCTCTTCATCGCATACATTATACACGTAAGAAGTCGAGAAAGCCGTAAGATTGGCATATTTGAAATCGAAATCGAGATCGAGATCAACTCGATCGGTAGTCGACTTTTTCCGCTCGCGCGCTGCGTGCACGAGAGTGCACTCGACATATTCGGCAGGATTTATCGGGCGGAATGATGGACCCGCGGGAGAAATGCATCGGTAATAGGAACATTATCGCCGAAAGTGCGTGTGCACGCTCCGATCCGGCGAAAGAAGTCTCGCCGGGGTCACGGCCGCGTGTGGTAACGCGGACGTGCGAATGCGTGAGTGCGTGCGTGTGCGCACGCGCGCTCTCTCTCTCTCTCTCTCTCGCGCGCTCGCGCTCGCTCGCTCGGCTAGGACCTCGGCGAACGCGGCGCGCCATTTCTCACACAGGAACACGCGGGGCGAGCATGTACACGAGAAAAAAATATCACGAGACTTTCGGCGCCGCGCGACCTTGGGGCCGCCGCCGTTGTCCGGCGGCGATCGGGTGAAAGTCTCTCTTCCGCGGATTAGGAAAGAATCTCCTCGCGGCCGTGTAAGGTGGAAAATGGCGCGCGCAGCTGCTTTGAGCAGCACGCCCCGGCGCGGCGGGGCCGTTTATCATAAGCATTTCGTTCGTTAGCGACTGGCCGGATGGGAGAGACGAGAGAGAGAGAGAGAGCGTCTTTTCGCCAGATATTGTGGACAAGCGTGCGATTTTCGATGTGGCTTAAACTTTGGCCTTTCGGGGAAGTCCACGACCGGACGCGAGTCCAGAGATATTTTTGCCCACTTGACGAAAGAATTTCCTAGACGAGAGATCTCTACGTTTCTGCTCACAATTTGGCCTCGAATAGTTGTGCAACATTTGAGTTAGATTTACAAACGGGGAAATGTCTGAGGTACATACAATTGCTTTTAAAGATTGAGATAAGATTTCGACGTTTGGAATATCTATCAGAAGATCCGATGTTTCTTTTTCGAAATCTTTTTCGAAAGGTCGAGGAAAAATGGAAAATTAGATCTCTCTCTGTATATTTAAGATAATAGGTCTCTCTCTCTCTCTCTCTCTCTCTCTCTCTCTCTCTCTCTCTCTCTCTCTCTAGGGCCCTAGCACGATAATCATGTTATCGACACATATGTTTCACCATACGAAAACTATCACAACAAAGGAATTTACTATATCGAAGCACAAATATTTATTCTGATAAGACGATCATACAGAAAAGATCCAACATTCCAAGAACCCATCTCAAATATAGTGGATAATTTTTCAGCTTTTTTACTTTTTCAGTCGTCTTCGGTGCGTATCCCAGTATTTTAATATAATACAGCTTAGTAAAATTTTGATGTAAACGACGGGTACTTTTACGCGCATTCCACCGTTGACAATATTTCGCAGCAGACTTGAGAATGCATCGAAGCAGATATAAATCGTTATGGTAACAAGTAATAACAGCGATAACGCGTGGTTCAATGTTACGATTCGCACATCACACACCCACCCAGACAACACACACACACACACACACACATATACACATCGGAGTACACAAAAGATACAACTCGCGGAACTCAGACGGGGGCCGGTTTTCCCGTCGCCGCGACGCCCTTCTTAAGTCTTTGTCGATCCACTCTGGCGCGCACAACGCCACCGCGATCGGAGCCGTCTAATTATATCGTCTTTCTCGAAATCCGCGCTCGCGCCATTGCGTTTCGCGCGAGCGCCCGACCTCTGCGCGATTTTTATTTATTGGTAGCCATCGTCGGGGCGCGTGACGACGGTTGTGCGATTCTCTTTCGCGATAGCTACCTCGACCCGCTTCTGCAAAATGTGATTCAACCTACTTTCATGCATCGGGAATCGAACCGACGAACGACATGTGGCGCTCAGCGAGCATAATTTCGTGTACGTGCAGGCGCGCGCGCGATTAATCAGCGCCGATTCTAACAACTGTCGTGGGAAGGAAAGAAGTTCGACGGGAAGTGTTGTTCGAGCCTCGCAGTCGACAGCCGGATCGGCTCCGAGTTGAAATCACAGTTGAAATCGCATGGTCGCACACGGAGAGACACGTGTGCGAAAGCAGACGGATAAATGAACGCGCGAATGAAAACGAACGCTCTCCGGGCGACGAAATCTCTCCGGGCCTTTCCGCGCGCGCGCACGACGCGTTTCTGCGGATCAGATCGCGAGCCGTGCGAAATTGCGCACCCAGTGCGCCTGCTCCGACGCAAACCGGCGAACAGAACTAATTTAAGAAATCCTATGTCGTGCCTGTTGGTTTGCGCCAGTTCACAGGTTAAAATAGATGCGTGAAAGTCGTCGGGCGCCGCGGGCCGCCAGCTCTCCCCCGAGACTTTTCCAAAGTGTCTTTTCGATTCGAGACAATCGCTCGCACGATCACCGTTATCGTGCCCTGGTACACTTGTCTAATCGCCGAACGTCGTTGTCCGCGATAGGCTCCTTATCGTCGTCGTCATCGTCGTCGGTAACCTGATCGGAATTTGAGTGCTCGACCAACTCGAGAGCTTCTCTCATCCGTTGATCTTCGCCCCAACTTGGTCCTCTCTCTCTCTCTCTCTCTCTCTCCCTCTCTCTCTCTCCCTCTCTCTCCCTCTCTCTCCCTCTCTCTCTCTCTCTCTCTCTCTCTCTCTCTCTCTCTCTCCCTCTCTCTCTCTCTCTCTCTCTCTCTCTCTCTCTCTCTCTCTCTCTCTCTCTCTCTCTCTCTCTCTCTCTCTCTCTCTCTCTCTCTCTCTCTCTCTCTCTCTCTCTCTCTCTCTCTCTCTCTCTCTCTCTCTGCTCCTCCTCCTCTCGCCCTCCCTTTTTTCGTGAAAACCCTTCGTCGTCGTGACTGTGTCCGGTCGGGAACGCGAATCGCAAACACGTTCACCGATATCACGTCGTCGTCGAAGATGCGAGTGTCATTGTCGTCGTCGTCGTCGCGTTTCACCACGTCGCATCTATACCACGTTTGGCAGGGATTTGGCAGGTTTATAAATAAATACTGAATCAGTGGGCCGCGCGCGGTAGGTGGAAGAAGCGCGGTAGAACGGTAGGAGCGCGCGGGCGGGCGGGTGCGGTCGCGGGGCGAGGACAACGGATCGCCCTGAAACTCGAGCCATCCTCGAGGATGTAAGAGTTCATGTGCACGTGTGCATACTTGAGAAACATGGGCGACCGAAGAACAACGGCGGCGACGAATGGCGGCGGCGGCGGCCGCGCCAGCAGCAGCACGAGATCCAAAAGTCGTCATCGACGCGGTTCTCGAGATCACGGTATTCTCATACTCTGTTGCGAGGCGTCTCCTTCTCGGTCTCTCTCGGCTGTCGACACCGACCGTCATGTCGATGGAATATGCCTCGGGATATCGTCGAGAGTAGATTCTCAACACGTTCCATGCAACACCACTCGCGTACGTCGTAACCGTGTAAGTAATCGCGTTTTCCCTCTCTTTCTGCTTCCAGGTAAAGCTATGCAAAAGCAGAAGAGCAAGAACAAGCTGAAACCCCGCGAACTCAATCGCAAGGGAGCCGAAAAGGAAGGTACAGACATGGACGCGTTTGTAAACGCAGCGCCAGCAACACCGAAGGTCGCCGAGATCAAGCAGGACAACAAGGAGTCGCAATCCGTTCCGGTTCCTCCGAAGGATAGTAACAAGGAATCCGTCAGAGAGATCAAGGACATGAAGGAAAAAGATAATTACGAGTCGAAGAAGGAAAAGGAGATCTTGGCCGTGTCAAAAAACGAGAAGCACGAGCTCGTCGAGGTGTCGAAGGAAAGCTCGCCCGTGCAACAAGCGCCGTCTCCTCCCGTCGTTGACAAACTGCCGAGCAACAAGGAAACGTTGTCGAAGGAAAGCAGCCCTCCGAAGATAGGGGATATCGCGAAGCCACCGAGCAACGTGTGTAACATGCAGCCACCGAAAGCTGCGGTGCCGGCAGCGATAGTGACGACTACAACGACGACGACCACGACGACGACGGTCCCGGTAGTCCCGGTAGTCCCGGTAGTCCCGGCAGTCCCGGTAGTCCCGGTAGTCTCGGTAGTCCCGGTAGTCCCGGTAGTAGTCGTTCCCAACGACGTCGTAGATCATGCGAAGATCAAGGAGGACATAAACCTGGAGATCTTGGTCGCACAAAAGAACGAGGAAAACTCCAAGGTGTCGGCGATGTGCACGTCCAACGAGGAGGAGGAAAAACCGACGGTGGCATCGGCGGAAGGTGCGAAGCAAGACGTCGAGATGAAGGATGCCTCGACGGAGACCATGCCCAAGGCACCGGTGCTCAAGTATACGTACAAGGAGGATCAGTGGAGTCCGATCAATACAGCTGGGAAGAAGATGTACGATCGAGATTTCCTCATGAGATTGCAGTTTGATCCCAATAGCAAGATCAAACCGCCGAATCTTCCAGACCTGGAGATCGTTCTCAAGGATCCTAGGGTAAGATGTTGTTCTCGTACATGCGTTACTACACGCCCATGACATTGTCTTTTACGTGTCAGTCGTTCTCTGTGAGTGAGGGAAGGGGATTTTACGTATTGTAAATATGTATGTTATATGTTAGGTTTTGTATCTCATTGTAATTTGCCTTGTGACAGGTACGTCTTAATGCGATAACCGACTTGAAACCGTTCGCTCAAGTGCACATGAACAGGCATGATGCGCTGATGCCCGGATTTGCGAAGGCTAATGTAAATCGTTTGGTAAGTGAAACACAACGGCGTCTTAGGAACCGTCGGAATGGTCGACTTTTTACAAATTTCTGCAAGAGATCTGGCGTTTTATTGGGAGTATTTGTGATACCTGAATTGGAAGATATATTTATTGTATGAAACTACTTGTAAAGCTTTGCAATCGGAATTCAGGATAGAATTGCAATTGGGAACTGACCAGTCGGAAACTTACTATTTTTTTTTTTTTTTTATCAAAACCGTAAAACAATTTCATAATAATTTCTCAAGTGCAAGGTTTATGAAAAATGATGTCGAATTAAAAATGAAAGTAGTGATCCGAAATCTCGTGAAGGAAAGCACATTTTCTGATTGAAATATTTGCGTCTTCGATTTATTTGTGCGTATCGTATTAAATTCACATTTTATGTGGAACATTAATATCTTGTTTATAGCCACCCACAAACCGTAAGAGTCATCCAGGAAAACCGAGCAAAGCGGCCAAACCAAACGTTATTCAGTACTCGTTATCAGTTAAAGAAGACGTGCAATTAAAAAGAATTAATAATGCTTGGGTACCGCTTAGGGTTCAAACCGCGAGTATGTCGGAAGAGGATATGAAAACGTTTAATATCGTCAATGGTGTACGTGGCGTGTTGAATAAGCTTACTCCAGAAAAGTTCGGAAGGCTGATGGAACTTATCAAGGAACTCGAGATCGATACGCCCTCGCGGTTACAAGATGTTATCAGCCTAGTGTTTGAGAAAGCAGTCGACGAACCCTGCTACTCTGTAGAGTATGCACAGCTATGCAAAGAATTGGGTCCGTTGGAAGTTAAAGATCCCGAAATGGAAGGTGCTGTCATCACCTTCAAGAAGCTTATTATCACACGTTGTCAGAAGGAGTTCGAGAAAAATCCCAATGATGACATTATGAGGAATAAAGCACTTAAAGAAATCGAAGAGTGCAGAGATTCTGTGAGTGTATTTGTAATTAAATCTATTTTAATCTGTAGTTTTTCCTTCTTTTTTTCCTTTTCCCTTCCGCTTTCCATGACAGCGGACATAAAAAATTTCCAATGTTTGATTGTATTATTGTTTTTTATTAGAATTTAAAGAAAGAGATGAAGTTGATGTTTGAGGATAAAGAACGTCGACAACGTGTAAAGGCTGTCGGTAATGTTCGGTGAGTAAATCCTTTTATTCAATTTGTCTTTCGAGATGTCCATTGTAAAATATATTTAGATGTAAAATCAAGAAGATATCTGTAAAGTGGAATTGTTGGTTGTGTGCTGATCATTCGAGAATCGAAAAATAAGCTCTCTTGAAAAAAAAATGCATCAAATATTTTTTCGGGACAGCAGTCTGAAACTTGCTTCATTGTGTCGTTCACAGATTTATCGGCGAGTTATACAGAGCGACAATATTGACCACGAAAATCATGCATCGTTGTATTAAACAATTGTTGCAACAAAATTCCGAAGAGAGTATGGAGTGCCTGTGCAAGCTATTCGAGACGATAGGTCCGGATATAGAGGCAGTCAAAACTGGCGAGGTAAAGATATATTTTTGTCTCTGCTCTTTTACACTCAAAATTGAAAATGTATATATCTTCTTTCTTTCTTTTATAAGACGAATACAATTAAATAACAAATTGACTTTATAGTTTACCAGTCATTTTATAGTTTAGACTTTATAGTACAGTAGAGAATTTACTGTAATTCCCGTTACTCGTTGTCTTATTTATTTTTCATTTGCCCCTTTTTTTCTATTCCAGAGTATCAATGAATATTTCAACAGAATGCAGGAGATTGTTTGTCGAAGGGGACAAAATCTTCCTAAAATTAACTCTAGGGTACGTTTTATGATTCAAGATGTCATAGAATTAAGAGAAAGAGGATGGAAGAAGAGAAGAGATGAAGAAAATAGTCCTAAAACGATAGAGGAAATTACGAAGGAAGCAGAGTCTGAAAAATTAGATTCACAGCTCAATAATGCTCTTTTTAATACTCCTCGAAAGGACGATCGAAACAACGACAAAAAGAGGAATCGTAAGTTTTGTTTTTTTTTTTGCAGTGTTTTGTTTGCAATATTTTGTTTGCAGTGATTCGTGTAGTCGTAACCAACTCCTTGTTATCTCTATATCATTAATAAGTATCGCATATATTATTTTAAACAATTATTTTACGTGCCAAGTTATTAAAGACAATTTTTCTCTTTGTGAAGGACTTGGTCCTACAGACGATGGTTGGAGTCAACCAGTAGGTAGAATGAGGCTAACGGCGTATTCGGTAGAAACAGCAAAACTGAAGAACAAACCGGTTAGTAAACTGAACATCCTTTCTGCCACCGATATTTTATTCCTTTTTGTGATGCAAATGTCGATGCACATTACTAACGTGAATATTTTTATATTGTTCATTATGTCAATATACGAGCGTGTAATGTAATTATTTTATTCTCTTTACAGCCACCCATGGACGACATGCAACTTGGCAGCAGAAACGCTTATCTGTGGGCAAAAAATCCAGTAATGGGTGGTGCCAATAAGACAATAAGTGCAAATAAGTTTGCATGTCTGGAAAATATGTCTAACTTTGACCAGGATAAGAGAATGCCACTGCCACTCTCTGGGTAAGTCGGACTATGTGTATAAGCACGACTACTAAATTTATATCGCAGCTGTCGCTTGTTGATCTTGCATTTCATGCTCTGAAAGAATATGATGATATATATAAGACTAGAGTTTCTGAATTTGCTAGAATTATTATGATTTTAAATCCATCCTGACGATTCAAAAACTATGCATATTAATATTAGAGGCATATTGGACAGCCACTTATGTTTGTATCCGTTATTTTAGGTCAAGATCGACGGGTCCATGTGGCCGTGACTACAAGAGTTCCTATGGTACGTCTCTCTTTATATGAATAAAACTAGATAGATATTGTTTTCTAATATAACATATGCTTTTAAAAATATTCTTAAAATCGGTAAAATTTCAAACAAAAAGAAACGTTATTTTCACAGATGGTAGGAATTCCCGTAATGGTAGCCACCAAATGAGCGGTGCATCGTCGAGTAGAGGCGGCAACTCATTGCTGGACAGCTCACGCAGCCAAAGTATGTCGATGCCTTCGCCTATGATGAAGTCCGTTTCACAGTCTGGCACAATTAGTCATAAACCTCCAATGTCGGAGCAAGATTTCACGAAGGCCCTCGATTCCACGTTAAGACACTACCTTGCGGAACAAGTTATTGAGGTGAGTCGAATGTTCTGTTGTGAATTAATGGTAATAATCTAGATTTTGGCAGATTCTGTTACGTCAAGTCACTCGAGTGCACGCTCCTTAGATCCATCTCTGATATATCTAGGAGATGCTTGAGTCATTGGCGTGCAATAATACTTCAATACCTTCTTTTTGGTCTCTTGTGGTAATATCTATTATGTTACTCGCATTAACCAACGAGAGGACAAATATTTAAAGAAATATTTCGCCAAAATTATTCAGGTGTATCCTGCGATATTCAAACGACGAAAATCTATGACATGATACGCGGACTCGCAAATTGAATGCATTTTCCTCTGTTTTTATAGGATACGACATTAGAAGTGAAAGAGAAGTTCGATAGTACCACCCTTAGCAAATTCACGCTCGAATGTATCAACCACGTTTTTGAAAAAACTGCTGGCGACCGAGAATGTGTCTCTAAGCTTATGTCCCATTTAATTAAAGAAAACATTTTACCTCTGCAATGTTTCAAGAGTGGGTGAGTAATTTACTTTATCCTAATATATCCAGTTACCGATTAAAAGATTATTATAATTAGAATTTTTACAAAATAATTTACGCTCATAATTTATATATTAACCCTTTAACTGCTACGGTCGAGATAACTCGAGTGTGGAAAAAAATGGCGGCCTTGCTACGATCGAGTTTACTCGATTTGGACTTTCAATGTGTAATACCCATTTAATTTAGTTTGTAAAAAGCATTTGAATTGAGCGGACATATAGTGCCATCTCTTATCATTATAAAATATTTTATAATTGTAAAAATAACTCAGCAAAGAGGATCATACTGGTTATTTAATATCTCAGCAGTTAAAGGGTCAATCAATGATGATAAAACTGTTTATAGAGTAAAGATATATGAAAATTATCTTTGTGTTGTAAGCCAAAAGGATACTGATAATATATTTACACAAATCTAATCGCGTGATATTTTCATAGGGACTTCTGTACATTCAAAAAAATTCTGTTTCAGACTAGGAGAAGTATTGCAGATCATAGACGAATTGGTCATCGATTTACCTAAAATTTGGACTTATCTAGCCGAAATATTGTGTAAGTAATATATGTATATCTTTTTTTGTTACTTTTTTCTTTTCTTTTCTTTCTTTACTCGCTATCGTTTAATTTGCGAATATATTAAATACAATAATTTTTAAATAATACAATCTAAAGTTCGAGGAAAAAAGTGTTCTTTTCATGATGAAAATTACTATTTACACTATAGAAATGTGCTGTCTAAATATATCAAATGTAATAATCTTTGTTAAAGTAAAGAAAAGAAAAAAAATAGTTTCTTATTTTCATGATGAAAATTGCAATTTACACCATAGAAATATGCCGTGCAGGTTATTTTTTGCTCAACAGGTCTGAAGAAAAATACAATAGTTTATTCACGCCACGTAGTGTGAACAAATTAATTAAAATATCTGTGATAATGTGTATTTCAGCGCATTCGATAGAGGAAGAAGCTGTTCCATTATCCGAGATGAAGAGCGTGTTTCTAAGTTTGAAAACGAACGGTTTCGTAGGCAAACTTTTCGGAGAACTTATGATGAAAGTATCTCAAAACAAAGGACCTAAGTGGGTCGCCGATAAATGGGACCAAAGTGGACTACAGTTGAGTAACTTGCTCGACCCGGAATTGGAGGATGCGGATAAGATCATCAAGGATTACGTGAGTATCTCAAGTTGTCTTCTAAATGAACAATTTTCAATGTATGATCCGATTTAATTTCATTGTTCTCACTTTCCTCTTCAGAATTTGGAGTTCCTAACTGGTGATTGTAATAGTGCCAAAAGCTCCACCATTACTAATAGTAACCAACCAAATTTGGTGCAAATCCAAGAAAATCTCAGAAGGCTCATGAAAGAAAACACTTCCTTCGACGAAATCTGTAGTTGGATAAATGTAGGCATTTCTTCCAGTTGATTTGCGCGCGAATTGTACAGGAATTTTGTAAATAAAATACATTTGATATTTTAGGAAAATGTTCATACTAGAGTTAAGGATCCCAAATTTATAAGAAGTTTAATGACTGCCATTTTAGAGACGTCAGTAGGTAAGTTACGCACATTTTTGTTGGAGGATTCGTACAACAGGATAAGTCTGATGAGTTATTTTACGTACAGAACAAAAATATCTTTATATTGTCTGTGTTGTTTGCCAAAAGGATACTGAATTACTCTTTGGAGACAACACTTGAAGAGTTTTCAAATCTGTCACCATACTAATATATAATTTTTTTTTTTCACGCAGAACCCATACACGACACGTGGAGACTCAACCAAGATATTTTTATAAGTTTGCAAACGCTGATCCAGCGTTATGTCGACGCGGACGAGATGTTAGAATTGCAATGTCTTTATGCAATTCAATCGTATATGACGAAGCTCGAATATCCGTCTGGTAAATACATATTATATACCACATAATTATACATTTAGTTGGCATTTAGTAATCCTATAGTGTTTCCCAATCAATCACTTCATGTTGATACCTTCGTGCGGTATAACTGTTGATTGTTTGATTATTATTTTGACTGACGGCTATTATATTCAGAAATCACAGAATATTCTGAATTATTATTGTTCAAGAATATATGGAGAAAGGAGTGATATCTAATATATCTAATATATATATATATATGTAATATATATTCGCTTTGTCGAACATGTAGAATCAACAGTTATAGAACTTGCCATATAGCTTGCTATTTAGCACCTAACGAAGATATAGAAAAATCCGCGCTTACACACTGAGATGTGGTAAGAACTGCAGATTTAACGAGTATTGGTATTTTATTACAGGTCTCCTCATCACTATTATAAACCGATTATGGATGGACAATGTGATATCGAGCGACGCGTTTTTGACTTGGCATAACGCTAAGGATCCAGCGGAACGTGAGGGACACGCTGTGGCAATGGTTGCCCTTACATCATTCTTCACTGACCTACAGGAGCCCGATGATAACTCTAGCATCGAGGAATTATCGCCCAAAGCGGACCGGGGTTGCTGTTGACGATACTGTGATCGATTACATTATCGTCTGTTTAAAAGACTCGAATATACGTTTCCTCCTTTAAATGGACACATACAACGTGCTAAGTGAAATCAAATTGCAGTTGTGTTTTTTTTTTCTACAAACCGGAACACCCCAAGTATTGAAAAGAAGGACACAATAAATATTGGTAAAGTGATACTTGTGGGTGTGTGTAATATAGCCTAGGACCTTTTACATAGGACGCGATGTGAAAGAAGAAGAAACGGGACACTCGGATAAATATACATAATGAAGATAAACTTTAACTTAACTATTAATTACTACAGAAATAATGCGGGATAATTATTATATACATAATTAAATGAGCAAATGGTTTAAAGTTTAAATAAAGCAAAAAAAATATTCGAGAATATTATCGTGTTTCTTATGTATATGCAAAGTGTCTCTGCAGCGCGTTAGGTCGATCGCTCAATAGGACTGGTACGTACGTCTTTTTTTTCTATGCTTGGAATCGGGAAGACTCGAATCTGCTTCCAATTATAATACGCTATAACACGGATCACAACCGAAGTGCTTGTTACACGATTTAGATAACGAATTGCAGATCGTCTGAAATACGCGATTAAGTAGGTCAATTTTACATGGATTAAATTCGGAAAGTAAGAAGAATAAATAATGGAATTACCAAGAGAATAACCAAGTCTGACACTGACAGCGAGACAGATCTTCCTATTATTGTAATGGATATAACAGAATTACTAATTTATATCTTTACAAATAAGAACTTACAATGTATTATAAGAAAGGACATTTACATGTTTAACATGAGAAGATGGCAAACAAAAAGTGAAGCGAAAATGGTATATACTGCGGAAATACGATCTGTACTGTAGAATACGTTGAAGTTAGAAAACGAAAGAATACAAATGGTGTGCATATTAAGGTACTATTTTTTAACACTAGCTATTTATAATCACAGAGTGAGTGAGTGAATGTGTGAACGAAAGTATGCGAAAGAAAGAGAGGGAGAGAAAGGAAGAAAGGTGAATTGAGCACAATGCGTGGAAACCTTTGGATGTATCCACGTAACAGATACTGTAGCGAATTGTATAAAATTGTTATTAAACTGATTTAAGGTACAGCGTGAACTCAGCCTTGTTTTAAGCGTGCTTGTGTAGAGAAGGAAGAAGAAAGAAACGACAAGCATAGATTGATTTTTGAGTATGCATGTATAGGTATGAGAGGTGGAGAGAAAGACAGGGAGAGAGAGAGAGAGAGAGAAAGAGAGAACATATTTATCTGGCATCTGTCGCTGTTTAGCGCCCCACGACTTGTCGTACCTGCCCGAAGGTATCTTAAACATTTATTTTCTTTTTTTTTTCTTTTTTTGGAAGAAACTGCACGTTTTTCGAAAGTATCGACATAAATGTACTTTATAAAAAAAAAATTTATACCGGAAGATTCTTTGCTTTGCTTCAAATTTCTTTCCCAAAATCACCGGAATCGTGGATCGACATTTTTCAGAATAGGACACACATGTAACGAAATTAATTACGGACTCATTGAAAATTACTCGAAATTTAGATACGTATATATATATATAGCTGTGGATATTGTATATATAAATATATTATTATTATTTGAAGTATACTAACGATCTGCAATATGTTTCACAATCACTCAGTTCGGACGAGTTTTAAATGTTCACCACTCGCAATGTTTCCTACTGTTATCCCTTCCTCAGTCTTTTTGTGTAAATTTTTCGTTTTCTCTTTTCTTCTCTCTTTTTCTTTGCGACAATCCCGCGAGATCTATCGCTGGCACGGTACTCTAGGCTTGAGAGTTTGAGATGCCGGGATCGGGGATGTGACTCGCGTTACGAATTGCAAAAGAAAGAGTAAAATAAGATGGTTCTCATTAACGAACAAGCAAAGAAAAGACAAAGGAGTCTCGCGCTCTGTGTGCTTTGTTTAGTTTCCCATGAAAAAAAAAATAGATTTGTTTCATTTTTATTGGCCGATACACGTACGAGGGAGCGAAGGGTGAAAAGTGATTTGTAGACGCGGTAAGAAGAGAGAGAGAGAGAAAGTGAAACGTGCGCGCGAGTATGTGTATATGTGTACGTGGTGCACACTTCACGAGACGCTAAATAAATAATAAAAAAAGGATTACACTAATTTATATATGAACAAAGTGGAAGAAAAGGAAACTGTTGAAAGCACTGTGGATATGGAGTGAAATATAACGACTAGAGAAGTTATTGTAAATAACTGAACGCGCGAGACTGTAAACAGAAGATTCAAATGGGGATGATATACATATAAAAAAAAAAAAAACGCGGGGAACGGCGGCAGCGAAGCTGCGCCGTTCTTCGCGAATGCCGCATGCACGTCGCGTTGTGTTGCGACGCGTTCCTGTGCGCCGACATTTCTTTTGTCCCCCGCGTACGAACACGCATATCTATCGCACGTGCATCCGTATATATGCGTGTACCTACGCGTATGTATACATAGATTTATATATACATAATATAAATAAAAAAAAAAATTTATCGCCCTGAGAACGCGGATTCACGACGCATAGATACACACACATACACCTCTATAATATAAATATATAAATATATAAATATAAATGAATATATATATATATATATATAATATCTATATAAAAAAATAAAAAAAAGAACTCCATGAGATTAACCGCTATTGATTACTCTCCTCCGAGTGCGTGTGATTTCGCCGATGAAAACGTGTGCAATGATGTCAAATATGCGCGCGCGCGCTAGTTATTACCATTACAACGAAATATATAATCTTCACTCTCGGTTTTCGGACTCAGGTGATATTTATTTTGATATCCTGTATACGTATTACATAGATACATTTGAATTCATTGTGTATACACATATCGATCTCGCGACTTTGCTCGGCAGAGATGGATGAAAAGAACGCAGCATGTTCGAGAATTCTTTTTCTTAATATTTCATATATCAGCGAATAATCGTGCTAAACGTGAAAAGAGTGGCTCGCGCGTGGTCTTGTTACTCTTAAAGCTTATGCGTTACCGTGCAATTCTTGCGGCAGTGTGACATTCCGACGAAATAGCAACTATTGTAGACCCGGTGATCGTCGGAAGTGCGCGGACGTGGCGAACGGGCCTTCGTCGGCGAATCCTGCGATCTCCTGAGGAACTATTGCGTATTCCTCTACGCTGGTGCAAGGTCTGCACATGCATTCCAAGGGCGCCTTGGTGATCACCTGTTAAACCCATACGAAACACGAATTTGACGTGAATTCGCGGCGAAAGCGGCGAGATATTGTCGGCGACCTGTCTTCCCGCGCGCGAGATTGTTATTACGACTCTCTGGCAAATTACTTGGTCCAAACCCCCGAAAGTCTCGTCAGATGACAACGATTAGTAACGATCAAAAATCGAGTCGGCTCTTCGATCGGCATTTCGAATTTGTTTTGAAATACCCGCGATACTCGCGTCCGATTGGCCGCCATCGTCGGTCGCGCACGAAAACAATATGGCCGCGTGAAACTCGTGGTGTCGGAAGCTGTGGTCGTTGATTTCGTGTTAGTGACGATCGGTAGAATAAACGAACGTTTAGTGTGTGACACTTATGTTCACCGTTCACTCTTGGCCGGCCGATTGCATCGTTGATATCATATCGCTGGGTCACGGATGGAGATGAACTCACCTTTCTGAATTTCTTCTCCCCCGGTTTCGCCCTCGGACAGAACAGGGATACACTAGCTTCTCTTTCGCCGCTGATCTGGCAGCAAGTGCAGCTTCTTTCCATCTGCCACATTTTTGATCCGGACACCTGTGCGTGTAAAAAAGTTGGACACTTATCGTGTGCGTGGATTCGCGTGTCTCACCGTTTTGTGCGTATGCGTGTATATGTATATAATACACACCGTTTTGTGTGAATGTGTGTGTGTGTGTGTATATATATGTACATACACACATTCTTATACATATGTATCTTGTACACACATAAAAAGTAATAACAAATTATCAAATGTGTTAAGTACGAACAATATAAGAAGACCTTTGATATTAATTATTATTATTTGTTTTCTTTCAAACTATACTTATTTAGCACATGCAGTTTGTGCAGAGCATTTTCTATCTTGGTCTTGTTAAAATCACAGTATTGTCCATCCTTATGGATTTTCGAAATTATTAGTACAAGATATTATATATACAGCACATTGTGTTATTTATTTCTTGTAGTTAATGGAATATTAATCTCCATTAAAAAACTTGTGAAGAGATATGAACAAGATTATCCGTATAGTCAATGGATAGAAACGATACTTTTATCTTAATGACTTTTATAGTATATCCGATAGCAAAATGTATCTTCTAAGGATTACTGAAAAAATAAATTCTTCCATTGGATATAGAAATTGTTGAGAAGCTCGTCGAGATAAAAGTGTCGCAACCTTTTATCTACTAATTGTACATTATGCTATCATTATATTATTGTATCATTGCTCATTGCAGATATTAAATAGATGATAACTATAGAGATTGATGATAGATAGTTTGTTATTCCTTTTTGTAAGATTATTACTAATTGATTTTCATATTCTACCTGCAGATAACTGCTACAGCGTCCTCTGCATGCATAACTGGGGATTGGTTTGGGAACACATCCGGGATACTCTAGGAAGTGTATCACACGCGTCGCTTGGCATTCGTCGACTCCAACAATCGCCTTCGAGCTTCCGCATAGCAGACATATCAGCAGTCCATTGATCACTGTACCCAGTAAGTAGATACTTTCATTATTATGTGTTCTACGCAATATGTAGTTAAGGAAGACAACTCAGAGAATTCGATTTATTTTATAAGTATATAAGCGATGTGTTAGCTTATTCACCGAGGTAACAGAAGAGTTTGCTCCCTGAACGGTACATTGCCTCCCTTTTCTGGCACTTCACTGTGCCGATAAGTCTCCTGTCTGAAGCTTTTATACACCATAGGTGGTCGTGTTCTCCCCCTTTCTTTGCTACTACATTTTAGTTAGGATCACTATATATATATGTGTATACATGTATAAAATATACATATAAAAAAGTGCTTTTTCTGACGCATTCGCCCTAAATTTATACATGTAATACTTGAACAAAATTTTCATTGCTACCATAACCAGATAGTTTCACTTCATTTAGAAATGATATGTAGTCGAATATGACAAATATGACAAACACTTTATTCTTTATTCTAGATAGTTTAATTTATGTGTAACTCTATTCTCCAATCTTCTTTTCTTGTCTTTGATAAAATATCTCATTGTGTATTAATATAATATAACATGGCTTGCAATATGTTGCAATGCAATTTATAGTATAAAGCTACATGATTAAGTATTAAATGTATAACACACACACACACACACACACACATATATACATACCTTGGATAAATACACATTTTGTATAATATAATTTTTGTTTATAAGCAATGTACTCAGTTGCTAACTTCAGGTACATTGTATTGCAAATCTTGGATAGACTTTGTACAAATATATTTCTACATAAATTACCTAAACTAAGACAATCTTCATGCTTTTCGATAGATTACTTGTACAATTTTATTTCTATAGTTTAAGAATTAAACTTTTTATAACATCAAGAGATTATAATGTGAAGGGGACATGAAGGGAAATGTTGCCTATTTATGAGTTATAAGCAACTAACCATAAATGGCTTTTCTGCATAGGTAGCTTGAATAAAGCTATATGAATATTTTTATTCTATGTTTGCAAATGCTAACCTCTAAAAACCTCTAAAAATCTTTTAGCTTCTTTTTTCTAAAATCGTTCTAAACGTATATATGTATATGTATGTTATTATATCTTTAAGATTTAACGTTATGTTTAATTATGTCAGTAAGCAATCGAGTTTTCTTATCTACTTGCATCCTGCATAATCCTTTGTCGAAAAGCCAAGAGTCTTTCTTAATTGCTCAAAGTTTATAGACATCCGTCGATGTTTTTGGTCAGCGTGAAATTGCTTTTGACCTTGATAAATGATCATAGCGTTGAATAAATATATGAAGCATTCTATATATGTTTTCGATAGAGGGCAAAAGAAAGAACTAAACTCTTCAGGATGAAATAAGTATGTCTATATTTTAGTGAAATAATTTGTATTTGTCTCAAAACAAGCAGCGATAGACAAAGGTAATTTATACATGCATGCATGCTCTACACGAGCATCATTAACATTCATAATATCTCAAGAAAGGCACAATCTTTGCATCTTTATATTTATCATCATCATTGGAAAAAAACACAGAGATAAAAGTTTTCGTGCGTCGGGACAGCAAGTATACAAACAGATATATCGGGAAAATTGTGTTTATTTTTCTCATGATTACAGTGAGTCCTTATCTCTTCGTTTTATCTTATCAGTAGACAGTAGTTACGCAATAGTTTGTATAATCGTCTCTGTCATCTATACAATTCTACGTCGGCTCTTATCTCGCAAGATCGTTACACTTGATGCATTTACATTCGGCAGGCTCGCGTATCTTGATCTCCATGGTTTCGTCATCCGTGCCTATCAGTCGAATCCCGTCTGCATCGTAGCATTGACTCAGAATAACGGGTCTTTCCTTCAAATAACTCTCACGGCAACAGTAGCATTCCTGCAATAAAAAGACGGTTACCAATTGTGCCGTATGTCTTAAAGGGGCTTCTGTTCCGTGTGAGGCATTTCACATTGAAATTACTTTGGAGAAGCCCGTAGTGGTGACAATGCTCGGCTGCATTCGCGAATTACAAAAGCCCTCGCATTTGCTGACGGATATCTCGCCGCTGCACGTTCTTCGCAGACGTGTCAGCTCGTCGTACTCGTCCTTGGTGATTCGTACTTCCGTCTGCAGGGTCTCGCAACCCTCGTCGTCTACTACTTGAGCGTCGTTGATCGCAGCGTAAACCGCGAGAATCAACAAAGATTTAGAGAATAGCGACATTATAATATCCTGTCGATATCTTTCTCCGGCAGAGAGTCGCCGCAGAGAGGTTTCCGGGTGAAATGAAGGTGAAGAGAATCAAACGGATACCTTTATAGGTAATATCCCACTTTCGGTCGCGTGTAAGAGTCAAGATTCGCGGCGATCTCCAGCTGCCTTAATAGCATTCAACAGGCGGGGGGTAACGAACCCCCTGCTCTCAGAGTCCTTGTAGGCGCGATGCTTGCTTTTCCCTCGCCCGTTATTTTTTCTCGTTGAACGTTATTTTTTCTCGATATTTTGCATCATGGCTAATGGGCTTCTTATGTCTCGGCGGTGGGTGATGGGCATTATTTAAGCAACATAATTTACGCCTCCAGCGTGCATCGTGTTGTATATTTTCGTCTCGAAAAATACTTTTAGTATATTCAAAGTGGGGGAATGTATTTTACATAGAGATGTCTATCGATGTTTAAAAGTCTCGTTGGAAAGACTCCATTTCCACGCTTTTTATATTCGTCACTTTTAATTTAATGGTCGCTTCTCGTACTGCCGGGGCAATTGTCTCTTAAATCTTCCTCGCCGTCAAACTGTGTTCCGCACCAAATGCAGTAAAAGTGTTTCTTCCTTAAATATTTCGTGAGGATCTTAAGCTTCTCTAAATCTGCCAGTGCTTCGTCGTTTGCGTCAGCGTCATTCGACTGAGGATCGTCATCGACATCGTCGTCGGTCTTTTCTTCCTTAACTTGTGGCCAGAACCACGATTCCTCCGGTTCCTCAATGGTCTCTTTAGCATCCAATTCTTGGCACACCTTTTGGCTCTTGTACAGGTCGATTTTCTGCAATTGCTCGGTCCTCTCCTGCGCTATTCTGCTGCGAAAATCCGTCACTTTCATGTTATCTAGCGTTGCGTCCGTGTTCTTGCGACTGTACGATTCCTTTTTCTTCAGCATCTTGCCTAATCCCTGCCTGTCAGCCTTCACTTCCACAGAGATCGGCTCCACCATTCCTGACTGAGTCTTACCTATACCCTTTCCAGGTTTATATCCCATTTTCATCAGCATCTCAAAACCTGCAAATGAGATGGAATATAAGAGATGAAAATATAAAATCTTTCACCGGCAAAATTACTTTTTATCTAGTACCTTACTATTTTCATCTGTCTTGTGTATTTCATGCATGCACAGATACAAACCTTTGTTGGTACTGGTGATAGCAGATGATAAACCTTCCTCCCTTTTCTCCGCTTCGACTACTCGCATTGGCTTATTTTTCTCTTTCATTCTTAATTCAATCTCAGCCTTTCTCTTCATTAACGCGTGCTCTCTTCTGTCAGAGTGTTTACGTATAAGACTTGGTGGGGGGACATCTTTCTCAGAGCTCAATAAAAACTTGTCGGACATGTAATCCTCGTCGTCTGACATCTTTTACAATGGAATTAATGAGTCTTGTAAAGCGACACTTCCCGGAGCACTAAAATCAAAATAGGAATAAAAGATTTCAGAGCAAGATCAAGTTTTAGAAACACTGCACAACTTTAGCCCGTCAAAGCAACGCCCTAAAAAGTATCTCTCTCATAGTATCGTCGACAGCTTTCCTAGTGACTTGTGCGACAAAGGAAAATAAAGTCCTCAAGAAAGTTAACAATTTAAACAAGAGGATATCTCAGTGTGCATCGTCTCGTACTTTTTAGGTTATGTGAAAACTTGAACGAGTCACGTACTGACACCGTTGGAAAAACCGATTTCTGCAAACCGGAAATTGCAATCCGGAGCGAAAAGTGGCGAAAAATCGGCCAGTACGAAAAGCTTCGTCGACACGATACTCCGAGGTGAAACGAGCGTTCTACTTTGTCGCTCATTGCGCAACTTCTCTCTCTCTCTCTCGAAAGCTCCCCTCGCTCCCTTTTACAAACGCATCGACCCGACATATGTTACGCCTGAGTTGTCGAATATTGGCGACGGCCAGTATCGGACATACATCTTTAATGAGTTACATCCGCGCTTCCATGCCACGCGCGACGTGCGGAGGATAATATTCCTGCGTGATACAGAGAGTTATTTTCCGATCGCGCTCGCGTATACGTCTGAAGTAAGCTGGCCATGCCCCCTCGCGGCCCCTCCGCGTCGCGTGCCATGGCGTGCGCTGGTCGATGGAACAGTGGAACGCGGAATCGAACGGCTCGGAAAATCAGAGGAACACGAACCACACTGTGTGTTTCCACGGGTGTTCGTACGTCGTCCGTGCGCGATATTTTTCGGCTCGGAAGCCGAAGGGCAGAGTCTCCTGCGTGCGAGCTCCGTGCTCGTCGATCTCGATTCGCCTCGTCGTAGCTTCTATCGCGACGGGGCGGAGTCGCCTTCGCGTCGTTTCCGTCGTGAGTAAGTGAGTGAGTGGTGAGCGACCGACCGACCGACCGACCGACCGACCGACCGAGAGAGAGAGAGAGAGAGAGAGAGGAGCTCCAGCGCCGAGTTGCGGAGCAGCAGGCCCGATGTGGAGGATTACGCACGAATGAAATTACGCGAGAACGTAAGCAGGTCCGACGTGTGCCGTCTACGGGACGACGACGACGAGACGTCTCGGCACGGGATACGGCAGGATCTCGGACGCTCCGCTGCCTCGCACGAATCGTAGCAGATCGATTCATGTAACGTGTGCGTGCGTGCGTGCGTGCGTGCATGCGTGCGTGCGTGCGTGCGTGCATGCGTGCGTACGAACGTGCGAGCGTGCGAGCGTGCGAGCGTGCGAGCGAGCGAGCGAGCGTTCCTTCCGGAACGCCGTTCGCGGAATCTCGCTGGTCTTCGGGGCCGGGCACGCAGCGTGCGAATGTGTCGACGAGTCGTCGCGTCGGCCGACACTCAACACGCTGATTCGGCGGACTGTCGGGAGATCCGCCGACGAAAATAAAAAGAGTCGCCGCGTGGAAGTGACGGGCGGCGGCGGCGACTCGGTGTGATATTTTCATTGAAGAAACATGCCAAACACGGTGTCGTCACGGCTGATTGCGCCGAACGGCGGGTCCCGAAAGGTCACACCGCGATCCTCGTGACCGCGCTGTCCGGTCGGAGGATCGGAGCGCGCGACGCTCTCGACGTTCTCGAACGGTGTCGCCGGAGTCCGCCTGCCGTTAGACCGTCCGCCGTTCGCCGCGTCGCGAGTGTCTACGTTATCTTGGAACTGGTATTTTTCGGTGCAGCTGTTGGATCCGTCGGAGGAAGACTCACCCGTCTCGGCTATGGTTGTAGCTAGCGGCTGGGTGAAAAATGCCAGTTCGCCCGCCGCCGGGCAGAACAACAATACCAACCTGAACCAAAACAAGGCGCAGAACAACAACAACAACAACAACAACAACAACAAGATGACCGCCAAGGGCGTCCTGATCTGCCGGGACAATTCCCACCCGTTCCAGGAGCGCACGCTGACACTGGAGCAGCCGATGAAGATCGGTCGTTCGGTGGCCAGGGCGAGAGCCGCGCCGAATAACGCGATCTTCGACTGCAAGGTGTTGTCGAGGAATCACGCGTTACTCTGGTACTCCTCCGGTAAGTTTTACCTGCGCGACACGTGCAGCAGCAACGGCACGTTCGTCAATAATCAGAGACTCAGCGGCTCGGGCCTGGAGTCGATGCCCAAGGAGGTGTGCTCCGGTGACATAGTGCAATTCGGCGTGGACGTTGTGGAAAGTACAAAGAAAGTTACCCACGGATGTATAGTCGCGACGTTAAAGCTGTACCTGCCGGACGGCAAGGAGGCTAAGGCCAGCCTCAGCACCTCCGTAAGCTCGCCCGCCGGTAACGTATCCTTGGAGGACCTCTACAAGCTCAATCAGGTGATGCAAGAGGCCTCGAGGCGCGAGAAGGCCCTGTACTCGAAACTGGGCTACCTGCAGCAACTCGTAGAGAACACTCGGAAGGCCGCCAACCAGTCGTGGAAGGCCTTGATCACGGAGGATCGTCTGCTGTCGTGGGTCGTCACCGTCGAGAGTCAGCTGGCGGTCTATTCCAAGAACTATACCGAGGACAAGATCAGGAACGAGCTGACGAAGCTGCAGGATGAGAAGGCGCAGTACCAGAACGCCGCGAAGGAGGCCTTGCAGAAGATCCTGCAGGAGAAGCTGGAAGTCACGAAGAAACTGGTGCAACTGGAGGGTCGTCTGAGCGAGACCGAGGAGGAGTGCCAAAGCTTGCACAATGTGGCCAAGTACACGCAGACGGAGCTGCAGGAGCTCAGCGCGAAATACGCGGAGACGCAGAAGAAGCTCCAGGAGACCGCCAACAAGCTCGTGGAGAGCGAGGAGAAGGTGAAGGACATGTCGCTGGGCGCGGAGCAGGAGAAGCGCGACTTGGTCAAACGTCTCGAGGGCCAGCTGAAGATCGAGAAGGAACTGCGGGCGAGATTGCGCAATTCCCGCTCGGACTCCGTCAACATCTACAAGCAGATCACCGCCTTGAGGAATTGCATACAGACCTTGCAGGATATGAATCTGAAGCTGGAGATGGGCGAGAATATGGACTCGAAGGTCGAGGAGGATCCCATCGAGGCGATAAACACCATCTTCAACAAGCTCAACTCCATCCACGTGGACAACATCGAAATGGATGACGTCAACTGCTACGCCACCAAGGCCGAGCAGGACAACCAGACGAGCTCGTCGGAGGTCGTCGTGGAGTCGAATCAGCTCAAGTCCGCCAACTCCGGCGCGCTCAAGGAATTGGTGCAAGAAGAACTGGAGACCATGGAGTACATCGACAACCTCATGGAGTACATCCTGCCGCCCTTGTCGTCGTCCAGGAAAACCCTGGTGAACGGCAACGCCAACCTGGACAACGCAGATTCCGGCGCGGACTCCGACACGAACTCGGAGGCGACCGACGACACGTGCAGTATTACAACGAGCGACGACACGAGCGAGAAGACCGTCGTCGAGAACAAGAAGAAGGAACTCTCCTCTAAGCAGACATTTCCCTCAGCGCCGTGCAAGATGGAGGTGCGATTTGCCAACACCGAGAGTGTTCAACACGCGGAGATACATTACGAGCCGACCGAGGCAATCCCTCAGGACGACAACATCGTCGCGGAGGTCTCGCGGGAAACCGCCGTCGAGGACACGTTGTCGGTCGACGGCGTCGTGGACGAGCGGGACCAGCCAGCATGTGGTGCTGCGACGGCCGACGAGACGGCGAAGGAACGCGACGCTGAGCGAGCGTCGTCGGAGAGCGAGTGCGAGGAACGCCTGGAGGGCGAGTACGTGAAGACGCTGAAGCCGACGACGAAGAACGACGCGATGCAGCAGTCGCGATGCCACAGCCGGGAGTACATCCTGCAGACGTTGATCGCGTCGTTAGACAGCCTGCGGGGCGAGGACAGCCTGGAAGCGCAACAAACGGTGAAGCGGGAGCTGGACGAGCTGAAGGACTGGCTGACGCGCGAGCCCGCCGAGGTCGTCGTCGACAAACTGCGCGAGCTCTACTACCGCGCCAAGAACGACTCGCAGCGCATGCTGGAGATCAACGAGGAGCTGGTCATAGTGAAGGAAAAGTACAACGCGATTGTCGAGGAGAAAGCGGAACTGTCGAAGAAGTACGGCGCGCTGCGGGCGCAGTGCGGCGATCTGCTGAGCGCGACCTACACCGTGCCGATACAATACGTCGCACCTCTCGCGATCATGCTGGTGTGGATGCTGCTGGAGAAGATATTCTAATGTTCCTCTTCTCTCCTCCACGCCGCCCTGATATTTCCTCCTTCCGGTATATATGTACATACAGCACACGCATCTCGTCGATCGATATTATTCTCTTCTGCTCTCGTTCGTTTCCCTTCTCCGTTCTTCCTTCTTCGTACTTTTCTTCGTACTTTTGTCTTCTTCTTCTTCTTCTTCTTCTTCTTCTTTTCTTTCCCTTCGTTTCCCTTCTTCTCTTTTTAGCAATATTTATATGGCGCGACGGCAAAATTCTTTCTTAGATTAACCGACTAGCTTCGTCGATCGGGTTACGATTAGATTCCCAGCACAGGAACGAATTAACGCATCTCTCGATATGCGATCTAACGATTTTTTATACGAACAAACGTTAAGGATTGTACATATTTGTTTAATTCTCCCGTCCGGACTGCGGACCGGGGTGTAAGCGGGTTGGGAGGGGGGGAGGGTACGGGGTTGGATTCTCGCGAGATTAATTGGGAGTTGTTAAGCGAGCGAGTGTCGCGTTACCACGAAGAAGGAGCCAAGATCAAAGATGGGGCTGGAATGTTTTCCGCTGGATATACGTGTATATATTCGGTGTACGTATACGTGGCACGATTCAAATGCGTATGCATGTGTATGCACGGCTGTATATGTACATATGTATACACATGCATATGTATGCGTGCAAGCTCTCGAACAAGAACGACTTACGCTTCGGGAAGTAAAGAGTGGCTGGACAGGAAAGAGAGAGAGAGAGAGAGAGAGAGAGAGAGAGAGAGAGAGAGAGAGAGAGAGAGAGAGAGAACAAGAAAGAGAAACGTGAAAAAAGAAAAAAATGTGGAGGTACGATACCACGTGAAATGTTCAACATGCTGCCAAGCCGCCGAGCGTCATATCTCGCAAATACGGCTTCAAGTCCGATTTGTAATGTTTTAACGTGTTTCTTCATTGTACGTGTTTCATTGTTGGTTTGTTTTCTTCTTGTTTTCGAACGTTACGATTCTAGCACGGCATAACGATTAACTGAACGATTAAAACATTATCCTTTGCTGCGAATAACTCGCTCTCTCGTAGATAGAGAGGGGGAGGGGAGATCATCGTCGTTCTCTCGTCGATTACTCGCAGGGATACCTTCTCTTCGCTCTTCATTCTTGTATATAAATAATTGTAGAGAGTAAATTCCGCGCGAGTGCGCGCGCGCGCGCACGCGCGTTAAACGATTACATACTCAGACATACGTACCACTCGTTAAATAACACGCTTCGTTTAAAACTCCTTTAGTTATGAGGGTTACTTGCGGCGTTATGCGGAGATATAACTTTTGCAAGATGAAAGAAAGGAAGAAGAAAGATTATATATAAATATATACATAAATATATTTATTTATATATATATATATATATATATATATATATATATATATATACATAGAATCGTCGCGCTCACGCGTGTCACGTGCATGCGTATTGTATGTTACAGCGTTGCTCTCGACTTCTCTAATCATTAAGCCCGTTAATTCTCGCGTCGGAGCGCATCGTGCGTACGCGATGAATCTTCACACGTGTCCGATCTCACACACACACACACACATACATATTGCACAATTGATTACCTTACGTCGTCGTCCGACTTGGATTTTTCTTCTTATCGTATCGTATGGGGTAGCATGACAATATAAGAAGCATATCTCGTTTTCGAGCGACCTAATAAATGATAAGCGAGTACATACACGGACACCATACCATACTCACGTAACTCACTGACTTCTCGAGTAACGCGAATTCTTCTCTCGGAACTCGGTAAAACCGTTTCTCTATCGATCCTACCTTGGAATGGCCTTGAACGTCACCTGCGTCTAAAGCGAAGAATAAAAAAAAAAAAACAAAGAAAATCCGATAACCGTAGTTTTCTATCAATTCTTTTGATACGAACAAACGCGAACGAGAAAGCAGGAAAAGCGGAGAAAAAAAAAATTCGACAGTATTTTCTTAATTCGCGTTAGTTTAGTTAGAAAGAGAGAAAAAGAGAGTGCCATCGCCCGTAGCGCGCGCGTCTACTTCTAAATCGTGTCGAATAACGATTCATCGTGTATCAATGAACAAAGATGTACGTGACACTTTCCAAAAGGGTACTCCCAGGGTGGGCCCAGGGTAAGGAGGAGCCGTCGAGCGGGGCGTCCTGCTCAGCCGCTCCTCAGGGTCCTGCTTACTTTTTTGGTGGGTTGTGGAACGTATGATATCAAAAACGATTATAAAATACGATATAAATAAATGCTCTGTACATAATACTGTTAATATAATCTTACTACTGATGTAATAGTCATTATATGAAAAGGGAAAATAAAAATTAACTTAATTCATTAAAGCCGGTCGTGTTTTGAGCTCTTGCGTTGTACTTCCTCTTTCGTCGTGACCCGCTATCCGTATTTCCCTACACACATACACACGCACACACGCACATGCGCTTCAGCATAAAAATTCCATCGTACGAATTGAAGCTATTCGACAGCCGCTCATCATACTCATACATACACGACTGAACATAATTCGTCACGTCACGATATAGTTTTAAGTGAATTGACATTATCGTCGACGTCTCCTCGTTACCTCGAGACATTATAACGGCGCATGCTGGCTATTTTCTCCCTTTTTCATCCGAGAATTCACGACCTTCTCTTCTCGCCAGGTCGGAGCAGAGTTGTCTTCCTCGTCTCTCACAATGCACTAATAATACTTATTACATATTTTTAAAGTCATCGTCATCTTTTTTCCTTTATTCAGGGGCGCGCGCTTAATTAGCTGTGCTTAGCCGTTGGCCGGTCGATCGTTCGGTTGGCCGGCCGATCGAAGGTAGACGACGCTGACGCGACGTCGTACGCCGCTATTATGCACCGTTGATGAAAAAGCTGAAGAAAAAGTCGGACAGCGGCACAGCCACGTCTTCAGGATCACCGTCGCAGCAGCAGCAGCAGCAGCAAGTGGTTGTCGGGATGGCGGGCGGATTGAACGCGAACACGACGGACACCTCCGAGTCGGCGAACCGGATCTGCAGGGACTTCTTGAGGAACGTCTGCCACCGGGGCAAGCGTTGCAAGTATCTGCACGAGCGATCCGAGGACGACCCGGTGGAGGAGTACACTTTCTGCCACGACTTCCAGAACGGCATGTGCAACTGGCCGGGCTGCAAGTTTCTTCATTGCACAGAGAGCGAGGAGAAGCGCTTCCGGGCGACCGGCGAGCTGCCGCCTCACGTTCTCAATCGCTCCAAGAACGGCAACGGCGACAAGTCGGACTATCCGTTGTGCAAGGACTTCATCAAGGGCAGCTGCCAGCGGGCGAACTGCAAGTTCCGGCATTGGAAGAAGGAGGAGCCGCAGCACAACCTGATGTCACCGTCACATCACAACGTGTCCAGGCCACAACATAATTTCAACGGCACCAGCAACGGCGGCGGTGCGGGCGGTGACAGTCGCAGATACGAGGAGGACAGAAAGTAAGCGTCTTGCCCGCGTGTAGTTACTTCATTGGCTGCGCTGATAGAACGGACACACAGAGCTGGTCGAGTTACATATGATAATGAATCAGGTTGAATCGGCCAGTATGAAGCTACGGTGTTACTACACCGTAACACCGTAAATTAGACTCTCTTTAAGCGCCAGATTTTTTATTTCACACATTGAAAGACTCGAAGTAACTTGAAGAATTGACAAAAAGACATGTAGCAAACTAAGGACATTTGTTGATAATATTTTCATCCGTATTCATCATACGGCAGATTCGAGTGAGTTCTGGCTGGTCTATCGCCGAATTTTATGAGTATTCAATATTTTGTTTACAAAATAAATGCAAAAATGAAAGAATCGTGTAAAGATGAAGACGAAAGCAATTTCACTTTCTTTCGAGCGACTTTGTCTTCTCGACTCGAGCTCAATGATTATTGCTCTTAATTCCGGACGAATTCTTCTGGATCCCTCAAGCTAAAAGCTAAAAGCTTTCTCTTCAAGGCTCCAAACACTTCAATCACGGGCAATCATCGCTGAACTCTTACTAAGCGTTAGACTCTGCTGAACGCAGTCGTGATTCCGGGCGCTCTCATTCTCTGATTGTCGCTCGTCTCTTTTTAGCTACCATTGGCAGATGGAGGATCAGCACAACAACTTGGTGACCAACAACGGTTACAACGCGTCGACGCATCCGGCCGATTACATGGGACCGCCGGAGCCGAAGAGGCGGATAGTATCAGGCGAGACGGTCGTCCACTTCGAGGCGTCGCCGCTCATGGGCCAACACGCCACCCAGCCGACAGTCACATCGGGTTACTATTATCCCGTGATAAGTAACGAAGCGCGTGCGCTCGTACTCGAAGATGAGAACACGTTCTTGAGGAAGAAGATAGAGGATTTAAAGAAGCAGGTGAGGTATATGTGAGGGTGGAAGCACACACGTGTTTCCCTCTTTCTCCCCCTCCCCCGCCCATCTCCATGCACCTCTCTATCTCTCTATTTCTTCATTCCAACTCCCAACTTCATCGTCTCCGTTTCTATTTTCGTTCAGGTCAGCGACCTAACGGCGACGAACGAATTCCTGTTGGATCAAAACGCACAGCTGAGAATGTCGGGTAAGCGGACAAACGTCACTGCGGTAACAGTACCGGCGGTGACGATCACAAACACAGTGCCGCCGTCGCAAGCACCGACACCTCAACAAATGGTGAACGCGGCGGTCGCAGCGGGCACCCTTCGCACGGTCGCTGCCAGCGTGGCTACAGTGCCGGTGAGCATCGGTACCGTAGCGCCGGTCTCCATGGCGGCGGTATCCATGGCACCGGTCTCGATGCCGCCGCCCATCGTTACTATGGCGCAGCAGACCATCTCGATGAGCGGCTCCGGGCCTCAAGCGACTAATCAGCAACCGCCTAACACGCAGCAGCCCGCCAGCTTACCTCTGTCGATATCCGCCGCAACAGCGCCTCTTGTCTCGTATCCCATTATGTCCCAAGAGCTCAGGCCTGTGCTGCAATAGGTCACCACCGTGAGACTAGAAAAGATACTTGTGTCGGGCTAGGACACAACACATTACCCAGAATATGGAAATAGTTTGTGTATTTCTTGATTGATTCTTAACGTTTGAAGACTATCCAGTCTAAGTAATCTATCTTGCTTAGACAAGCTATCTATCCAGTCTAGGCATTAAAAGTCTATGCAGGCAAACTTGTATATAATTACATAATATATATAAATAATGCATGTACACCAGGAAATCAATCAATCATAATCATAAAATAAAAATTATGTAGAGAAAGGATGTCTTTTATATTGCACACAGGATTGGTCGATTTCTTCGTGCACGTACATTATGCAGGTTTGTTTGGATAGGTTTTAACAGTCAGCGTTACATGAAAACCGATAGAACGTTTTGCGAAAAAGACAAAGATGCCAGTTGTTTGGTTCAAAGATTCGATTCTTTTAACTGAGACATCAATTACAGTTTTGTTCGTCGACAATCGCAATTGAGTCCGCACGTAGACGACGTTTTTACGCGCGATATATTTTTCTTGCTCGAAAAGAGACATTTTTTTTCTTCTATGAACAATGTCTTGGAGGCATAAAGATCAATAATAAACATCCGTCAGCAACGTGTACCGTCGGCGGTTATGTATGTCCAAAGTGTATAGTTGTAGAATAATAGGTATGACAATCTGTAATCATGCGACAGCTCTGTCATGACATTAAGTCTTTCCTCATTCTTTTATTTCCCTTTTTCTTTTTCTTACTTAGTGTCGCGCGTGGTCATCATTTTAATCTTACTTCTATGTAATGCTTAATAAAACTTACACGTTTATTCAAATAAAGGGAGAGGACCGTCGTACATTTGTAAAATAAAAAGAAACATGTAATTAAAACCCGTCTAGATTAATGCATTAACGTATAAGTATAGAGCAGAATAAAATATATAAATATAGCATATTAAGAAAAGTGAAAGAGGGGGGAAGGTATGTAGACGATAAAGGAGGTTCGGCATTGTTTTAAATTCGATCTAATAAAACGTCGCTGCACCGTCCTATATACAATGTTGTATATAATATTCCTTCGCTCTTATTTACTTCAGAAACATTTTGTACTTCCACCTTTAGTGTGGAAATTGTGTGGTAACTTATGCGATAATGATATTTCGGTCAATTAAGTACTTATATTACGGTTCTTCGCTGATTTCTTTCATAATTTACTTAAGCTGGCGGTCTTATCTCTCATTTCTTTTCTAAAGATTATAGAATAAAAATAATTACAAAGTTAGGCTTAACCTAGTATGTAAGCGCATGCATACACACACATACACGGTATGCATATCTATGGAGAATATATAAATCAAGGAAGGGTACATCTGATTTTAAGTCGTATTATTAGTCACAGTTCGACACACCTGTATATATTTTGCTAAAATTAAGCGTAAGAAATTGAGCACTATGTACTCGTGTATTTTATATATTATGCATACAAATGTATAATCTTTTACGTAGAACTTTACGTTAAAGAGCACTTTATTAAAAAACAAGGAAAGACGAATGTGGTTTTTACTCTCGAATTCTTACGAGCGGAGATGTAAGCGTGTGTGCTACGAGGTTACGGATAACGAGGTTATGTGCATTGAGATTTCTTTTTTGACAATTAATAATAAAAGGGTACGCGAGAAGGAAATGTCAATACGAGGCAGTCCAATGAAAGCCAGTAATTAACCATTTTTATTTTTATATCCAGTATACGTAATAAATGCAGCTAGTCAAAAATTGTCACGTCATACGCGCACACACGCATACATACGTACGCAAGGACGCATCTTCAGTTGTCGAAAGAAGAAATATATCATGCAACACCATCCTTCTAACACAGTATAAGATTCGTACGTTTTATGCTGTTTTCGTTGCACGAAGCATCGAAATATTAATTTTTTCTATTGTACATAACAACGTATACATGTATGTATATAGATAAAATCGCTGCACATATCGTTTGTCCGCGGTCTCTAGCTTATGATATATTGTAATTGAAGGTGTTTTATAAAAGAACATGAATAGTTATATGCCAATGGAATGTAATTACAAATTGTACAGCTTATAATGCACTCGTATGGACATTTCTTCACTCACGAACAGAAACAAATGAATTTTATTGCAGTAATTCGCTCAGTAAGGCAGGGACTTACAATCGGAATTTACAATCGGTAAAATTGTACATAAACAAGAAACAAGCAATTTAATTAATCTTTATCCGTTTCGTATGATATTTTGCTTTTGTAAATACATTACTCCACGACTTAAATTGAATTAATAAGTAAAATGAAACAATCCTACCACCAGTGAATCAATTGTGGTAAGAAATAATTTTATTTTTTATTAGAATTTCTGTTCTTTAACCAATAAGCACCAGCTAACAGTATGGTACAGCAAAATCCAACTAAACAACGCAATTTCCAATGCTGCTTAGAGCATCGTAACACATTAATTACTTTTATGGTCTGTTCCCTGGTATCGCTCTCACTGCTGGAATTCTCAATTACAAAATTTGCCATTTCTGCTTTCTTCTCTAAAGACATCTGTGCAGCTACTCTTACCTTTGCTTTAGCTTCGGTAAATCCACTACGTTCCATTAAACGTTGTAACTGTAAGTCTTCCTCACTAGAAGTAATAAAAAAAAAGACTTGGGAAATTGTACAAAATTTAAAGATAAACCTATATATTTATCTGATTTAAAGGATCATTTAAAATCATTGTAGCCAAAGTATCAGACTATGACAGAGAAATTCATACTTACCACGTTACAACAATAATTTTGTGTAAGAAATCTAACATGTGTCCTGTTTCAAAGAGCAAAGGCAGATCCAAGACTATGAATGGGTGGCCTTGTATAAAGTATCGAAAGACTTGCCAGTAAATTTTTTTATATATATCAGGATGTGTAATGACATTGAGTTTTCTTCTCTTCTCAACATCATTGAATATCAACTCGCCAAGTTTTGCTCTGTCCAAATATTTGGTCTCCAGGAACACTTCTGGGCCAAACTCATTTCTTATTTTATACCATGCTGGCTGTCCTGGTTCAACAACTGTAAATATATATATATATGTGTGTGTGTGTGTGTGTGTGTGTGTGTGTGTGTGTAACATATATGTATATACATGATTCAGTTCATATTTATAATAAATTAAATATTTTCTCATTCTTATTTTCTTTTCACATTTTTTTTCTTTATGACAATCTGATACAATCTATGAATTCTTCCTCAGAAAAAGTTATTGAATATAAAATTTATCAAATTTGTTTTGTCAGCGCTACATTTTAGTTGTACGTTGCTAAAAATAAATATATAATTCTTTTTCTATCATAAAATACGCAATCTTTTGAATCTATCTGTGGATACTACAATTGAACTAAAATTTGGCGACAAATTTTATTGAAAATTTGAAGCACGATATATATTCATGTAATCGATACGATGATACGATAAATTTCAATTTGTCTAACCTTCTCGGGCAATTAAATCAGCGTCTATAACAGGAATACCATGCTCCCGAAAAACAGCGGCGACTGTGCTTTTTCCAGTGGCTATGCCGCCTGTCAAACCAACTAGATACATTTTATAAAATGTACGTTTTTTTCCATAAATATACACAGCAAAACAAAGCAGACGATAATCAGATGCAGACAACTGAACTGAATGATAATAAACTTTGTGCCCAGAGAGAAGAGGTTATAAAATTTTTTTAACGGAACTTCCTGCACTGGTGCAAGTAACACACACTTAAGTGTTTCTCCCAACAGGAGCATTAGGGATTAGCTGTTGCATGCTGAAAAATGTTTATAAAATTTATAAAATGCTTCTCGAAGCACTTCATCATTAAATTTTGGTCAAAGAAACAGCCTTTTAAACTGTGTACATTTTTTTTATAATCGAGAAGGATAATCATTTTATTTTTATGTGCAGAGAAAAAAGCACATAATACGCCGTTTAGTTATAAAACTTGGTAAAAAATGGTTTTTATCTTGTCTTGTCTTGAGTGAAACAAGAAAAAAGTAATATGGTCTGTTCTTTTTAGCTGCACTACTGAACTGGTGCAATAAGTTAAAGTTAAAGAGAAAAAATATAGATGTCTCATTCTAATTAACTTATTGCACTAATTCCGCAGTGCAGCTGAAAAGTATAGACCAATTGATTCGTTTTTAAGATGATTCGAGTCACAGATAAAATATATTATGAGAGTCGGTAAAATAAGGTTCGAGTCTCAGCTAGAAAGCAGTATAAATTATAATTATATGTACAAATTAAGATGTGTATAAATCGTATCTTTGAACATCTGGATAAAGTTATCTGGGAAGAGAGAGTAAGAAAATTAGGTGGAGTTGCATAGTTTGACATCTCGTTTCTCGATAAAACAAGTTCATAATTCATTCCAGTCATGGCTGCTGACAAGATACACGTTCGACATTGCTTTTCAATCTTGAAAAGCTCTTCTTTCTCGATCTTCTGCTATAGAAGCCAAAAGAACAATCGACGAAGCGTATCGCGAGGACAAATATGCAGTATAACGCCCTCACCTTAGATTTTTTTGAAATTATGAAAATTTGTGTATTTTAATGCGTAGAATTGATTTCTGAAAACGAAAATTGTCGCTCATGTACCGTTTTTCTTTTTTTAATTAAAAGTTTTATGATGTCGGTAAGTAAGAAAATAATAAAATTGGTAAACTTTATTGATGAAATTAGCGTGAACGCGTTTAACTTCGATTATATTATATTGTCAAGCTTCAATTATATTGAGTTGTTAACACAGTTGTATGTTATAATCTAAATAATCTGACGAAAAATGAAATTACACGAATTTTTAGCAAAAATAAACGATAAACCAAATTTAATAAAATTTTTAGTTGAACTTGACGTTATATGTGATAATATAAAATGTGTGATAATATTGTACAATTGGATATTGAAAATTTAGAATTTAAGTGTACCAAATCATATTATGTAACCGATAACCATAAAAAAGAAGAAGAACTCGGTGTACTTTTCGACAAAGCGCAAAAAAAAATACATGGTTTGACAAAAGCAACTTATCTGTTGAAAAAATTTGTATATTTGTGGCCTATTTCATAATGTTGAGACCGCCGCGTCAAGATTTTATAAAAAATGAGTTGGAAATATCTGATCATACCATCGTTGATTGGCATAGCTTTTGCCGTGAGGTAACAATATAAAAATTATCCTAGTTCAATGTTTTCGCATATGTAATTATACTAAACACAATGTATCATTAGGTATGCATTTATTGGATAGAAAGACATTCAGAAAAAATTGGAGGTGAAGGAAAAATTGTAGAAGTAAATTGACGAAGTAAAAATTGGTAAAAGAAAATATAACAGAGGAAGGCTCATCGATGGAAGATGGATTTTCGGTGGTTACGGATTAAAATTTAGATTTAACATTTCTTTAAAATACACGCTATAACTATATACGCGGCTACGTCTCTCACGTCCAAGTTCCTATATAAATTTAAAAAAATAGGCCATGATTTTGCATCACTGACTCATCTTGAACTCCAAACCAAGGATTATTATTAATTTGTTCTACTGAATATCCCATTTTTAGGTTTTGAGGTTACGATTACAGATGAAAGTAAACTTCTTTAGGAATATAACTGAAGTTAGACGTATTCAAGCTAGCTTTATCAATAAAGTTTACCAATTTTATCACTTTTTTACTTACCGACATCATAAAATTTAATTAAAAAAAAGGAAAACGGTACATGAGCGACAATTTTCGTTTTCAAAAATCAATTCTACGCATTAAAATACACAAATTTTCAAAATTTCAAAAAAATCTAAGGTGAGGGCGTTATACTGCATATTTACCCGGCGTTGCTCCAGGTACGGTGCGAGAATAGTTTGCCAATATAACCGAAGTTAATAAATATAGACAATCCAAGTTTATATGTATATTATTAAGTGGTAAACTTAATTCCTGCCATTTTTCGTCTCTAGAATTGATTTGTTTCGAAGGGAAGATGAATTAAACCTTAATCAAAGTAATTTCCTCCATTTTCTACTACTTTTTCCCATCTCCCCGGCAACAAGGCGATCCCACTTTCGGGGTGATCCATTCATCCACCCATTTTTGGACTTCTTCGTAACTGGAGAAGTATGTGTCCATAAGTGCGTGTTGCATCGACCGAAAGAGATAGTAATCCGACGGTGCCAAGTCTGGAGAGTACGCTGGATGCGCTGGAGGACTTCCCCTCCAAGCTTTAATGTCTGCTTCACGCTTTCCGCAATATGCGATCGAACGTTATCGCATGCAAAAGAATGACTTTGTGTCGATTGGCTATGCCCAGACAGCATATATGTTCAAAACTGGGACGTAAGACGTCTTTAAGGCATCTTTAAGTCGTCTTTAAGATGTCTGAAAATAAGACATCTTTAAGTCGTCTTAAAGACGTCTTATGTCCCAGTTTTGGACATTGTGCTGTCTGGGTGGATGGCCTTTTTTGCATCAATTCGTCACTCAATCGGCATAATTGCTGTTGGTAGCGACCAATTGTAATGGTTTCATTTGGACGCAAGAGCTCGTAATACAGCACACTCTCCAGGTCCCATCAAATGCAGAGCAAGGTCTTATGCCCGTGAATATTCCTCTTCGGCATTGAAGTGGATGGTTGACCGGGGTCCACCCATGATTTCCTTCGCTTGGGATTATCAAAATAAATCCATTTTTCATCACCAGTCACGATACGCCACAAGAAGTTCTTTGCTTTTGCCTGGCAAGCAAAGAACAAGCGATAGACAAACGCATTCAAAATGGCATTTTCTGACAACTCATGTAGCCATATCCCCTTCCTTATGAATTTTCCCATGCAAGCGTTTTGAGACGGCCATTGAAGTAACATTTAACGCTTTCGAAACTCTAAAAGCGTTTGAGCTGGATTCTCATCGAGCAATTCTTGTAGTCCAACATCTTCCAATTTTTTCGGCTATCCGGGACGTTCTTTATCTCCACGTCAAAATTACCGTTTCGAAAGCGTTCAAGCCGAGCTCTACATGTTCTTACCGATGGGGTTTTATCACTATACACTTCGGATAATAAGCGATGAGTTTCAGCTGCGGTTTTCTTAAAATCGAAGCAGTGAAGAAGTACATGTCGGAAAAGCAACTTATCGCGGTTCATTTTCAATCGATTGGAAAATCTCTTCGGCGTTGAAAAATTTAACCTGTGAGGACTGAATCACTTTCAGCAATGTCTAAACTACATAACATGTGATTTCACCGTCGAAACTCGCCAGTGTTGGAGCCGACACCCTCTAGCAGCAAGCGGCAGGAATTAAGTTTACTACCTAATAATTACAAATCTCAAGGAGTTATCTCTTTTCTTTCCCGCCCTCCCCCTCTCCCTCATTTCCTCATTCTCTCTCTCTCTCTCTCTCTCTCTCTCTCTCTCTCTCTCTCTCTCCCTCTCTCTCTCTCTCTATCTAACAGTTGAAAAATAAATTCTAAAAGGCATAGAACCAAGGTAAAAAGAATCGAATAACAGATATTAAGATAAATTTAGTAGAAACAATAGACACTAGATGTCTTATTTTTTAATTATATTATTTTTTTGGAAAACATAAACGTAAACGTTACGAAATAAATGAGCCTACGGCCGTCGATAGCGCGAGCCTTGCAGCTGAGCTTTTTATACTTAAAACGCATATTCGAACACTGGAGGAAGTAAAAACGAAGGAGTCAAGTGCGAAAAGTTCAAGCATAACGCGACAGACTTACATGATATTACTTACTTTGCATGATACTTTTGTATCGTCGGTATTTTATATCGTCATGGTAAAATGGAAATATAGTATAATACAAATGTTCGTGTTATCTTCAATGTAGCTAAAATAGTCGGTATTGTCATTGTTCTTGAATTACCGTCACTCGGGACTCCTCTGCCAGTACGAAAATTTACCTAGGTTTGACAGTCTTCAATATTATCTTGTCGGCGGTAGAAATATATGAATTCTTTGTCCAAAACAGTTTCTAAGAGGAGAGTTTGTACCCCCTGGTCCAAAAATGCGTATTCGTTGATTGATCACGACGCATTGAAAACGATATATGGTTATTTGTTTCATTGAATTTCTTCTCAGTCAAGCTAGCGGTGACGCATTTATTTTAAGCTTGAAATAATCTTTTGATTATCATAATGAATCTGAGACCTGCCGGTATGTCTGATGATGAAGAAGAAGAAGAAATATATTTTGGAGTCAATGTATGATCAATCATACGTAATTTCTATTAAATTTTAACAATGGGGAGAAATATAAATTACTTATTGTTTTTTTAGGATCCTAAAACGCATGATGATACCAATAAAGATCATACGGACGAAGCCAGCTTGCCGAAGAAGATCATTAATTACCATAATTATCACAATGAAGAGCAAGCCCTCGAGTCTCAAGTCATAAACGCGTGTATACACGGGCAAATGGATACGATATACGAATATCTTAAAAGTAAAGATCATTGTCATACCATTTAGTTTCTAAAGTATATTTTCTTCCTTTTTCTACAAAATTGTATTAAGATGTTATTTAAATTGTTTAAATTTACAAATCAAACAGTAAACTAAAATCATCTTAAATTAGAAGAAAAGTATAAAATATTTTTACAGAGAATGATGTTGATAAATTGTTACGTACTGGATGGTCTTTATTATTACATTCAGCTTCGTATGTACAATTTGATATAATGGTATATCTGTTGTCACATGGTGCAAATCCTAATATATATGGTGGTATATATCAATTCTTTTTTCATCCATTATTGCAAGTTTTGTATGAATTTATAATTATTTTATATGGTACTGTACAGGAGAATTTACACCTCTTCTAGCACTATGTGCTTCTAGATGTGGTCTGCCTGAAACATGTTTGAAATGTCTTGTGCTTTTAATAGAAGCAAAAGCTGATGTAAATGCTGTAGGTAAACATAGGTAAAATTAAGATTATATCAATATTTTATGTCAACTCATACTTATTGTCAACTTTTAAGGAGATAATTTTGATAACCATTGGTAATCATAATTTTGCAGAGAAACAGCTCTAATGCATGCTTGTAAGACAAAAAATACAGAATTTGTCATGGAGCTTCTAAAACATATAGATGATATCAATTTTTGTGATAATTATAGGCAAACTGTAAGTCTTAATATCATTAAATATTAAAATATTTTTCTAGTAACTTGTTGATGCGATTCTAGGCTTTAAACCATGCTGTTACAAGCAATAGACCAGATATTGTATCAGTTCTTTTGATGCATGATGCAGATCCAGATATGCCAGACAAAGATGGCTACACTCCTGAGATGATTGCCGTCAGAGAAGGTTTCAAAGAGGTAATTAAAATTCTCAGCTCCACTTCTATAATGATACTAAATGTTCTTTATTTTTCAGATATGTGAACTGTTAGATGTCGAGTGCGAAAAAGAAGACTATGAAATATTCCAAATAGAATATTGGGGAGATTTATTTCCAGAATTATATCCTAGAAAGGAGAAAAGTGTGCATGAAGAAATATTGAATTTGTTATTTAACATGGGTCCCTGTAACATGGAAAGATATAAAATATTGTTCGCAAGAATGGAATTGAAAACTTTCGTACAATTGACAGAAGATGATCTCTGCCATTTAGGAGTAAATATTACTGTTCACAGAGAACGGTTTTTAGAATATCTTCATTATTTTCATTGTCAAATGTGGAAAGTGAAAACGCTCGAAGCGGGTAGAAAATCTACTACATACTCGTATGTGTTAATATGTTTTGTCACAACATTTCAGTAATATATGTGGAACATAATTACATATAAATATGGTTTTAGAATTTTTATTAGTGTGGGATCGTTGGGAATTATAAAAACTCAGATTGGTATTATAGCTTCTAGTTTTACATTTGTTAAAAATAGTTTTATGGAATGTGCAACCAAAGATATCTACCTCAATTCTATGGAAAGAGTCAAGTACGAAGAAGAACTAATAAAAATACGAAAAGCTCTAGAAATATTAAAAACTGATATGAAGCATTTTAAAAAATTAGCGCAAAAGGTAAAACATTTTTATAATATAAATTTTATATACAATATTGCATACATTCAATAATCATTTTATTACTACATCTTAGCTCCACAAGGAAAATGATATTGGTATTCCAGCATGTTTTTTGTCCAGCCCCAAAAAACGTAAAAACAGAACCAAATGGGTTATATCGTTAAGTGTTACATTAATTATAGGACTATACATATGTAAAACATGTATTCACAAATGATAGAACGTAAACACGATAATGTAATTTGACATTTTTTTTTTTAGTACATTTAATATGTTCTTGCAAACGTCATTAATTTTCTTTTTCATAATACATGAACTCACACTTATACACACAAGAATACACACAAGAGAATTTATTTTTATACAACGGAAAAAAATATACATGATTATACAATAGCGTATTTCTGATTAATTTTGATGTTCTCTCAAATTCACTAATTTCATCATCTGTGGAAACAGAGGGTGGAACGATGGAAGATTTTGTTGTCGAACCGTCAATTGATAACGTTCTAACGGGCCACTGCACAGCGCCAATCTGTCTCTCTCGTTTGGATGACTGTCCATCCACTGAGACAATCTGCTTATAGACCATCCGGCGCTCTACGATAAACATGAAATATGGAGTTGCTTAAATGTAACACTAATCGAGCATTACTTTGCTAAATATTTTGAGCATTTTCACAGATATAATGTTGGGAACGTCTTTACGGAGTTATTTGTTTTACTGTAAAACAATATGTTCATACCTGGTGTGGTGACGTTATTTCGGGTGGCGCGCCAGAAAACAAGTGCAAGAGAATGAGAGATGGTGGCACGCTGCTTTCTCCTTGACCTTCTAAAATCTTCTCAACCATCTTCTCGGGGCTAAGAGGAAGCAAGGCTTTTAGCGCTCGCAAAGTTCTATATTGCTGTTGTTCGAGCAGACCCATTTGACCACCGCGACACAATGGTGCTACAGCAACTTCCATCTAAAACCATCTAGCTGTTAAATTTACCCGTTTACGCTCATCCAATGCGTTAATTACGTACCTGACTAAAGTCTACTAGAAGTTTTGCTCTCCCAAAATCAGTTAGAGGTCTCAACAGGCAAGCATGGCGTACAAATAATTCTATGCATCTCGATGCAACAGCTTTGCAACTTTAACGATATTGACGTTTAATAACTCGTCATTGCGATATATGTCGGTTAAATGTAAGAGTAACTTACCTTTCAGCTACGACTATTTGATTCTTGTACGGTAGCAAAAATGTATTCACGGATCGCAAAATGAATCCTTGCAACTCACGCATATAAAGAGAACAGCCAATTTCTTTTCCCAGAGGACTACTCGTACTATTGTAACCAAGATCGTGTTAATATGCAATATTGGAACGTTTGATCATTCCAGAGCATATTTTGGAAATATATCTTATTAAATAGAAAAAGAGGCAAAGATCGCTTACTCTCTAAATTCGGAGTCGTCGTGCATCGTCAAAATGATGCTTTCGATCGCATCACTAATAGAAGTTAACAGTGGCGCGAGCAGACTCTTCGTTAACGCATCCGTTTCTTTGAGCGCCGTTGTGATGACGACGCTCCCTTCGGAGATTAAACCGGCCGCCAAATTCACTATCACGCGATTTGTCTGGCTAGAAAGATAATGCAGAAGATTTGCGAGCGTGACATTTGTTTGCTGGCCGGTAGTAGGAGAGTCGATCACTTGACTAGCTTCGCCGCCAGTCACCATACTCTGTTCGCATTTCAAGCAGAATAATCTTATTGCTTTTCCTACGTTACGCGCCACAACAGTTGAGAGCCCGTCATCCACCAGCGATACACTCAGCTCGCTAAATACAGAATGTATATCCTTGCTGAATTTTCTTCAACAGACACGAGATGTATGTGTAGAAAATATGCTAAACTCACTTTGTAATCATACGTATAAGACTGTCGATTTCATCGTGTGTCGGCAATCCTTCTCCGGAAAACATATTGTGCACTGGATCCAAAAGTCGTGACACCGAACGCGATAAATATGCATTTTCAAATGGTTGTAGAACATTGCGGCTGTGTTAAAAATGCGTGGATTAATGTTTCGTACGTAATTGCGTCAATTTACGTGAGAAATTTGGCACTCACTCGATACCGTAAATCCCAATACTGTGCGACCTTTCTTTTAAGCGTTTACTCAAGTCTAAAAATATTCTTAAAAATTTCGGATATTCTCCTTCTAAAGCTTGCTTCACAAATGATGATCCTGCAAGACAAGTTTTAGACTTTACTAAAGTGGGGAATTTATGTGCATGTGTATATGTGAATACGTATATTATAATTTACCCTGAGCACGTTCATTCAAAACTTTTGCAAGGAGTGCATTCACCTTATCCCAAAATTTCTCGGACAAGTTGTTAAAACCTTTCGTGTGGTGTTCTAACAATATCCTTTGCAACAATTCAATCTGAAATAATGTTCTTTGAGAATTTTCGCGAATTAAGAAAATGTACACGCAACATTGCACAATTTTGTCTATTCACTTGCAAACATTGAGTATATAAAGTATCTTGGAAAAGACGTTCCAGATTTTCCCAGATTCTCGTACGTAAATTTCCAGACGATCCAGGAGATGGAATCATAGCTCTACCCGGTGCTCCTCGTTTCCCAAAATCTTGATTTGCTAGCAAAGATACGTCTAATGACTCTGTAGAGATTTTCTCTATTTCAGCCAGGGTGGATTCTATAGTTGTATCCACAGCTCCGTTTAGTATTCCCAAATTTTGAAATACCTGCACAGCTGTGCTTACCTGCATTGAATCAATAATGATGGGATATTTTAGAATATGTGTGATTAATACAGTAGAAAATATTCATAGAAAGCACACCTTTGTTCTATCCATTGCTTGTAAACCTTGAGTTAATGTATGAGTGGCTATTCTTTGCACCGTAGCTCTTTGAGCTTTTACAGCTTGTTGATCATCCGCTACTACATCTAGACCATTGAGGTCTGTATCTGCCATCAACTGCTCTGTATGTATAAATTTTACATGTAACACATGTGAACATGTAATATTATGGCAAACAAAAAGTAATATAAAAGTAATACCAAGTTCATGTAGACTATTGGCAGCTTTAACAATATCTGGTCCTTGAGTGACACTGCTCATTTGAGAATTTAAACGTTTGGATAAGTGTTGCATTCTAGCAACTCTTCTCAAGAGGTCAGAAGTTTCATGAAGCCGTGCCAATACAATTGTCTGCATCTCGATTCTATTAAATGGATCAATAATTTTCCCACGTAGTCGCTCAACTGCTGATAGAAGACTCTAAGCAAGGTTTACTATATTTTCTATATCACTCTTTTAATTTACATCCACATCAATATTAATAATATCCTACAATAATTACCTGTATGTGAGACTGCATTATAAAAAGTACTCCTTCCAATTTTTCAACCCATGTTGCCTGAGATAGTAAATCTTTGTGATTGGCAAGTACTTGTCTCTGCAACTCAGCATTTAACACCTCAATAGCTGAAAGTAATATTTATTATTTTTCATGTTAACTATAGCATGCATAAAACACTTGTCAAATTTAAGACAATATACTATTTTAATGATATAAAACCATTACCTTGTCCTAATTTGTTTAATTGTTGAGCCACTGACAGTAGTGAACTAATATCAGTCTTTTTGGAATCGGCATTCAATAGTTGTTTAAAAAATTCTGAAATTAATGTGATTTTCAATGGTTATCTCCAACAGATTTTTATTTGATAAACAAATATTTTTTCTACTTACGATCATTTTCTATGTCTTCCCAGCTTGATATCTCGCCCATTTTACCTTAGCTTTTTACACAAAATTGGTGATAGAAAATATATGTATATATAAATTATATCGGTCTCTTGATTGAGTAGAACCATCAAATACCATTAATTGTTGAAAGTTTCGCAACTCTTCGCTAAATGATCACGCTTATCGAATGAGTTTTGACAAGTGTCAACTCAGTGACTCAGGTGGCGCTGAAAATTGTCCCCTCTTTTCCCAAGGGGGAGTTTGTATCCGCTGCAATAATTCGACCCGGCGGGCAGTGCTGCGAGATTCAGAGAATTTCCGGGCATGCGCATTGAGCAAACGCTGTGGGAGTCTCAGTACCGTATTAATTTAAAGGTATATTAACGATATGGTGATGATACTATGGATTGAAAATTGCAATCGGATAAATCAGGTAATCTAAATTTTGGTAATTTAAGTTGGTCCACTTGTAATTTTCAATCTATAGTCTAATACGGGCGTAAGATCCTTCGTCTGAAAGAACATATGAAGGAATTCTAGGAAGAAGAAAAAGTATCCTCCGTGGATCCTCTGTCATGCGTTTTAAACCATCAGTGGGTTTTGACATAAGGCCTGTTCGTTTTGTCTGCACTGCTGAACTGGTGCATTCAGTTAAAGTGAGACAAACGTAGGTTTTCTCACTTTAACTTGTTGCACCAGTTCAACAGTGCAGACAAAACGAACAGGCCTATATGTAGCTCTACGTCACTTCAGGCATGCGCTGTAGTGTGGGAAATTCTCTGAATCTCGCAGCACAGTTCGTCGTGCGTATCGGTGGATGTTCCTTTCTTCCGTGTAGTTTGGATTTTTTGATAAGTCACAATTTCTTGTGAATTTTGATCCATTTAGATGTAACTGCGACGGAGAGACTTACGTCGTCTTCTCTGTACTCGGACGCAGGCACAAAGCTGTTTGACATGGTGAGTGAGATACGGGGCAGTGCTGACACTTGCTTCGAAATTATTTGCTTAGGTTAGCATGTGTAAATAATGATATCTATCAATTGAAGTTTTAAAGCTACGTTTGACCCGCCAGATATAATATGGGAGATATATGTGTACCGTTGTCTGTTTTCACAGTTGTGATTCTTATTAAATCATTTGTCACTTTAAATCACTTTCCAGTCCAAACTAAAGAGAGTATATTATGATGGAGGAATGTTATGTTAGTGTTTATTCACTTGGAATAGAAATTAATATATATACACATCTTCGTTGATGTATCACATCTAATGTATCTGCTTGAGATTAATACTTTTAGTTGTGAGAATGCACAATCAACAAGAAATATGAAAATTTAATTCTGACCAATCAGTGCTTATTTTATCATGTCAGGATATGTCGGACAGTATAGATAAATCATGGGATCATGCATGGACTACAGAAGAAATGAGAAAGAAGAGGAGAGAATGGAGTTTAGCAGGTGATGTTGGACTTCTCAAACATCTGCAACAATTCTCTGAGGTATACTTTATTCTTTTGCTTCCACAGTATATTTATGCCTTAGATTAATTAATACTTTTACTTTGCACAATACTCTAGAATCTGATATCCAAAGCCAATAAAACTCAATCAGCTTTGGATACACTAACAACACAGTTAAAAGAAACAGGAATATTAGTGGACAATGTTACCAACACATCTCTGGCACTAGCTAATACCCAATTCATTGAAAGTCGTGTGCAGGAAGATGACACAGAGATGAAGGACAGTACTGAAGAAAAGCAAGAAGTAAGTATTTGCTATTCATATTTTATATTTACATAAAGAATAGGGTCTACCTTTGATAAATGTTTCTGGGAAAGATTCTAAGGGATAAAATCACTTACACTGTCTGAATAATACTCATTGATGAGATTGTAAAGTCTCAAGATTCAGCACCGGAGAGTCTGCTGGCCAGCATAAGCGAGAGTGTCAAGCAAGGATTGAACATAATGGATGAAAAGTACAAAATGATGGATGTGGCTTGCAGCGACAGTGAAGAAGATGACGATGGCGCAGTAGTGGTCAGGTGAGTACTGTTACTTACATTTGCGTAACTCAATTGCGTGCACGTTAAAATAGCGGGTTTATAGTGTTATGGTGGGTCCCAACGATCCATATCAGGATCGTCCCTTGCCATATGTCATCGGTTCCGACAAGTGGATGGCGTCAAGCAAGATCGGTCTAGAGAGCAGCAGCAGCGAATCTGAACAACCAGACGAGGAAAGGGAAGAATCGGAGAGTGATAAGGAAGAGGTCACAAACGTCCAGAAAGTCTTCAACAGCCGGCACAATCCGGAAATCAACATAGCAAGGTTGTCGTCGTCTTCTAGCGATTCGGACAACTACAATGGTCCGAGCAGCAACATCTCTTACATGAACAACAGCAAGGTGGACACGCTGTCTCAGAATAACATCAACTCTGCCTCCGAATCCGTCACACCTAATACTGTGTCGAAGGTATAATTGACGTCTTTATGATACTCAATTTTTTTCTTTCCCCGCTTTCATTATTTGTTTCTCGTTGTGAAGACTTCGAACGAAGCAGCACCCAACTTTGCGGAGGAATTAGCTAAACGATTAGGCACCGTTCGCCAAGCGCAGAAGCCTGTTATTGTAGACGAGGCTAATGAATCGTCGATCAACAGATTTAAAGGTATGTTATTGTATATTAATAATTGCAAATATTTGCGCTAACAAGTACTTGTTAATGGAAAAATATGAATTGCACGTGAAATATTATAACGAGATTGACCAGGAACGAAAATATTTATATGATGATGTTACCGTTGATCCTTTTTCTTTTACTTCTCTTATTTTATATATTATCGATATTTATCATTTCCACTTTTCACAGATGACTTATTCGCGTCGGAGCGAGACGACGATGTGTTCAACGATGGTTCCGATAATCTATTCAGCAACAAAAAAGACCTCTTCGACGAACAGGTGTCCGCGAACCTATGGAGGGACAGACCGATCAAATCTTACAAAAGCAATATCATACCTGCGAGTATTGATGTGCCGCCGCCTATCAGTATAGTTTGTATGTACCTTTGCTCTTTCGTAGTCCTGATGGAATTGTAAGTTCTAACATGAAACTGTGTTTCCAGCGACGAAGCCAAAGTCAGCGATTGACGATCTATTCGCTGACGCCGACTCGGAGGAGGACTCGGACGATATCTTCTCCTCAAAGAACACCGTTAAGAAACGCGCCGTTAAGGAACCTTCTGTCGGCGGTAATCGAGCTTATCAAACAAACACGGGGGATATACCGAAGAAATTCTTAGACGTGATAGCACCCGGATCTGCCGGCGGTAACATTGCCACAAGTACGCCGGAATCCCACGTCAACGTCACGAACCTGTTTAGCGACGAAGAGAACGACGACGACCTGTTCGGTGCTCCCAGGAAGCAGCCGCAAACATCGATGAGTGCGGCGAACGCGTCTGCAGGTGCGACACAGAATTCGACTAAGAAGGTGAGTTAAAAGTTTATATATACACGGTTATATGAGGACTTTTTAATGATACTGGAGTCCACGTTTGGCGAATGTTTGATCAAATATACCTATTGTGATGTATAGGTGACTCTCGAATAATACGGCTAATTTAAAGCCATTTATTATTAGAAAGTTAGAATTCATACGACAAATTAATAATTGATACAATTTTTGAGATTACGCATATTTTTATTAGATAAGTTTTCACTTGATTCTTTCTATGGTTTCGCATCCATGCGTATTGTCTTTTACCGAATAACCGTGTCCGACGGTCGCAATTTCTGATCGTGCAGTTCAAGTAGTTACTCGAGGGGTGTCTGTTATCAACTCATCAAGCATTAATATCGTGTGCATCGCATTAATGTTTACACAATTCAGAGATATCTGAGGAATGGGGAATTATCGCATAAATGGAATATAAATCGCAGAAACCAATCGGGGGAGTGTCGTCGATACTCAGACACGTTGCGGCGTCGGACATTGAGGGCAAGCTGTCGAGCCGGATGATGAGGCGACAGTCGTCTGATTCGTCCGATAGCGATGTGCCAGGAAATTGCGATAATGCAAGGAGCACCGAGCCGGTGTCTGCAGAGAGAGCCGTTCTGAATGATAACATCACGGCCGACCGCAGTTTAGCCGTCGCAGCTGAGAGCATATCCGCGATTATCGAGAATAGCAACAGCAGCGGGGTGTCGATGCAACCGCCCAGCATCGATAACACCACGGAATCCGGTTTGTGGTAAGTCGTTATTTTTCTCTTAGTTCAATCTCTCTCTCTCTCTCTCTCTCTCTCTCTCTCTCTCTCTCTCTCTCTCTCTCTCTCTCTCTCTCTCTCTCTCTCTCTCTCTCTCTCTCTCTCTCTCTCTCTCTCTCTCTCTCTCTCTCTCTCTCTCTCTCTCTCTCTCTCTCTCTCTCTCTCTCTCTCTCTCTCTCTCTCTCTCTCTCTCTCTCTCGCTCTCTCTCTCTCTCTCTCTCTCTCTCTCTCTCTCTCTCTCTCTCTCTCTCTCTCTCCCTCCCCCCTCCCCCTCTCTTCCTCCCCCTTCCTTTCTCTTTCTCTCTCTCCCTCTCTCTTCCTTTCTATCTGGGTTAATACGGAACGTTCCACGCGAACGTTCCAATATACGGTCGAATACACTCGAAATCTAAGTGTGTCATTTTTCTGAAGCTCCCCTCGCACGTTTCTTGCCGCTTTAAAATCACGCTACGTAACACGTTTAAATTATAACTCAATGCATCAAACGCACGTCTATGCGCGTAAAAACGACACACTTGGACTTGCAGTGTACGTGAATGTTACCCAGACCATTTAGAATCGCTGAGAGCGCAGAAGAGGTCACTGCTCCTTTATTTAGAAAGGCCGATAAAACAAGAGCCGACCGCTCGCGCTCGCCTTTTTTCTTTTCCATTGTGCATCACAGTATTCAAAAGCAGTATTTATTATTTGAAGGGGTATCGTTATCGCGAAAGGCAAGACGCACATAGTTATTGGACTCATTGAAATCGCCGAGTTATGAAATCGGCTGCAGTTGAATCGAGCATCGAACGTACACGGAAGATGTCATCAATCGTGTGTGTGTCAAGCCATACGTCGAATTTGTCTGAATTAAACGACACTCTTCAGGCATTAAGTAAGCCATACACGCGCGCATGCACGCACGTACGCACGCACGCACGCACGCACGCATATACACACACACACACGCACGCACGCACGCACGCACGCGCGCACACACACACACACATACACACACACACCACGGCTGATGGGGAAACCTACCTGATGACACGCGATACTAGAGCTTCCCGAGGTCAGCACCTAACAAAGAGATCGCGCTTCAATTACGTATGCGCTTTCTGCAGTCCATCGACGCGGCCCGCGCGTCGCATCCGGAATGCAAACGAGCGTCTCCCATCGTTACCGTCATCACAACACGATGCGACCGGTAGCCGGATTATTTAATAACCGGCGGGCATTGAGCTCGTTAAAGGTACCGCCGCGGCACCTTCAGCTTCGTCCCATTCGCTCTCCTCACGGCTTCACCGAGCCACCCTCTCTCGCGTCTTGACATACGTGCCAAATACTTACGGTGTCATTGAATCGATGACCCAAACATTAGTCACTCGCCTTGCCCATTACGCACTAGCTGCGGCGAGTAAATGCGCCAGTCCAAGGCGAGCCTCTTCAGCATGGCCGCTGAATGTTGCCTGTCGCCAGTGGCTCTCCTTCTGCTGCGCCACGAGTTTAACCTGAAGAAACGTAAGACGACGACGACAACGACGAGTAAAAATAGTAAGGATAAAAACTGTACTCTGAGCGACTCGCGCTGCAGCGACGTTTATTCGCGTGGAACGCTTCCTCGAGGATCGACGTGCGATCTCTGTCGAGTAAAAGCTACCAAGCGGAAGAATTGCGCCGGTTTGGAGTGAAGTGATACGCGAGGAGCACCCGCGAAGTGATCCTTTTTGCGAATTATAACGTCCGCGGGAAGGTGTCTCGAGGACTACTGTCTTCCAATTAACTCTCAACGATGGCAGGCAAGTGACAAACGCAAGGAGCAAATATATCGTGTTGAGAAGCGGCAGTTATTTGCGAATTGTATCAGTCGCAACGTCGCGAGATCCTCTCTGGAGGATAATACGCGGTCCTTCCGTTAGCTCTGGGAAATGAAAGAAGCACAAGTAACAAAAGTCGAAGTCGGTCAGGCGAAAGTAGCGTTTATTTGCATTATCATGCCGGATCGTGCCGGAGGCGTCGCATTCCTCGGTCTAATCTCAAGGAGTAACGCGAAAATAACGGTTATGCTAGAGGGAAGCGTAAAGTTGGTGTCGCTTGCGTGACAGGAATTCGCGAGTCTGGGAACTTTGGCGAAAGGAACGATAAGCGAGTAAAAGTCACAAGCGAGCAGCAAGACACATGACGTCCTGCTGCAAGCAAGAAACAAGTTACAAACGTTATAAAATTAATAGAGTAAACGAGAGAACGATTAGAATCTCTTGCGCAGAACGCGAGAGCGACAGGTCAGTTTATTGTGCCAGGGACGAAAGCTCAGAGGATATCTCATCGTGTAAGCGCTCAGTGGTCCTTGCAAATCGGTCTCTCGCAGCATTCCGGATAAGGTTTACTGATATCCAGTTCATGATAACCGATTTGCTCACCTGGCTGGCAAAGTGCCAATGGACATCTGGAAAAAGAGACATGGCTTCGAGAAAAGTGAGAATCGATGCGATATGTAATAAATTTTCAGAGAGATAGAGCAAGGATCTCCTGGACTCATACTGAGAAACTCATTTTAACTCACGCGAGCATACTCATTGTACCATCTTCGTTACAGTTGATCTTGTTGCATTTGCGATAATGAGTGCCGACAGGTAGAGTTTCGTCGTCATAAGGGCAATTACCTGTGCAAACAAATTATCGTAAGTCATATCTGAAGCAGCTTTCGACCATCTTTTCTTCATTATTTTATTACAGAAGATTAGTAATATCGTTAACGGTAATTAAGGGAGGAATTACATGCGGAAGGCAGGTCTTCAAGGCTATTTTTACGAATTTTTCTTAACAGAAACGGTAAGATTAATGGACTTGAAATTTTTACAGTGTATTCATGAATGTTCAAAGTATAAAATAAATTTTATTGAATCACAAGAACCGATCCAGTTTGTAATTATAGATAAAAATGCAGTTATCCGTTTGCGAGCTCTATGTTTGCTGTCGACATAATTCCGGGCCTCTCACTACTCTGAAACTAAAAAATGAGAAAGAATTTTGAAATATACGGTTGCCACTATATATAGCCCGTACCAAAATGAAGGCAATGAAGTCAAGTTTGGAAAAATAATGACTATACAAAAAAAAGTACCGAAAATGAAACTTTTTTCAACTAGTGATTATGCTTAAAAAGAATCAATAAAATAAAATATAACTGTGTTTCAGGTAGGGATGAAAACTAAACATGTCTACTGCATATTGTGTAAAAATGTCAAGTTATTCGGTGCAGTAATTTTTACGTAGTCGTGTCGACAGTTTAAGAAAATGGTATCTCCAGATAAACGCGTTTAAAGTTTTATGTGTACTTTCTATGTAGATAGTAACAAATTTATTTTATACTTTGAACATTAATGAATACACTGTGAAAATTTCAAGTCCATCGATTCTACCGTTTCTGTTAACAGAGGCGTAAAAATAGTCTTGAAAACGGCCTGTTCCGCATGTAATTCCCCCCTTAAAATAACTCGGGTTATAAACTCGTTGGTATTTTCAGTACTGGTAACTGTTAATAACCACAAGTTTTCTGTGCGTTCAACGCAGAGATAATCGTGGATCTATCGGATTTAAATTAGAATCAGGGTCGCGCAATTTAGGTCATTTGTGCGACGAGATTACGTTTCACAAAAGAATTCTCCAAGACTGATCTTGTCGACTTTCCCTCTCTGCCCCCTCTCTCTCTTTCACGCTCGCTCTTTCTAAATCTATTGCATTTTATCACGTGTTTCCTCTCTCAACGCCGATTTTTTCAATTACACGACATACCTTGCACTTGCGTGATAAGCACACACGCCAGCAACAAAGTCGCACAACAGAGAAGTCCCTTCATCTTCAATTTCTCGCTGTAGAGGATCAGGAAAAAGCGCGATAATCCGCGAAAATCGTCATCTTATATATCGTCTCCCTTCCTTCATCTACACGTCGATTGACCTCCGACAACATCTTATCTCTCTTTTCAATATGCGATGCCGAGCGAATCGCGCGATATCGCGCGAATATATCATGGATGGATATAGCAACGAGATTGGAAAAGAAAAAAAAGAAGAAAAGACACGATGTGAAATCAGCATTCGCCGGCATTAATTATGCGAACGTGTCAGGCACGTTACGAGCCACCATTATTTTCTGGACTCGTCGCCGGATTTATCTATTGCGCGCTTCTCTACTCTCTCCCTCTCCCCCCCTCTCTCTCTCTCTCTCTGTCTCTCTTTCGTCCTCCGCTGTTTACACGACTATTAATTATGTCTTCCGACGTTCGTATTTGCTTAGCTCATTATTTCCCAAGCGGACATTTCATAGTCGATTGGTTTTTGGCTCAGAAAAGTGATAAAATCACGTGAAAACTAATAACAAAGTATGCTTTCCCACGTAAAAAAACCTGATTTTTCAGAATCTGGAGTCATAATTTTGGAATTATCAACTGATAATTAAATATGGCGGCTCAAAGTTGACAAAGTTTTTTTCATCGATTATGAGCTTTTCACCCTGGAGAACTTCGAAAAATTTTGTCCAGAGCTGTCAGAGACAATTAAATTGACAGAGTTTGGCTACTCGAAGGATAAACAATGATTATTGATTCTATTTTTCAATTGATTCAAGATGGCAGATGCAATATGGCGTCCAAATACACGAAAATCGTACTTCATTGCGATTTATATGTGTGAATAGTCATTTCTTATGTTTTTGAGGTCACTGAACATGAATCTTAGATCCGTTTTCAATTTTGCAAAATAGCGGATGCAATATGGCGTCCGAGTGCCACGAGAATCATACTTTATTGCGAACTATGTGTGTGGGCACTTATTTCATATGTTTTTGAGGTCGTCGAGTCCATGATTCAGGTGAATGTTGGAACTCTTGACAAAATATATCTCAAAACTTATAATGAGTTATGAAAGTTTTCAAAACATTCGTTGCATATGCTTTTCTGGCAAATATTGCAAAAAATATTTGTACGTTTTCTATACTCCCCACCTGATTTACAAATCTGTGGAGAATTCCTGGCACTTGGACGCCATATTGCATCCATCTTGAATCAATTGAAAAATAGAATCAATAATCACTGTTTATCCTTTGAGTAGCCAAACTCTGTCGATTCAATTGTCCCTGACAGCTCTGGACAAAATTTTTCGAAGTTCTCCACGGTAAAAGGATCATAGTCGGTGAAAAAATTTCTGTCAACTTTGAGTCGCCATATTTAATTATCAGTTCCAAAATTATGACTCCAGATTCTGAAAGATCAGGTTTCTCTTACGTGGGGAAGCATATTTTGTTATTAGTTTTCGTGTGATTTTATCACTTTTCTGAGCCAAAAACCAATCGACTACAAAATGTCAGCTCAGGAAGTAATGGGTTAGACTACGACGTTCGATCGCTTCGTGTACCAGTTTGCATAAAACCGACATGGGGGAGCTATTTATTTTCGATCGTCACCAGCTCCCCTCGGACAGCGGCGACGAGAAGCGGCGAAACTGAACCGTCCCCGCTGCCTCGGCGCAGGATAACGATCTGAAAGAATGCGCGATGACGGGGATGAAATCTGGGCTGAGGTCAGAAATCGAGCAAACACCGCGAGCATGAACGAATGTGCGAGAGGAGCTCGTGTCAAAGTGCGAAATCGCTTGGGTTATCCCCAAGCCGATAAAACCACCTCCACCAGTGACTGTTTTCGGCCGGTCTGACAATCACACGCTACGTATCACGGTCACTCTTATCGAAACAGGTCTCTCTGCCTTGGAACGAAGCGAGTTTCCGAGAGCGGTGAATCGTCCAATTCGCTGGTCTCCTTCACCTCTCCGATCTTTCGCCGATCGGCGAATTAGATGTCGGGGGATTAAAAAGGACAAGCCGCTGGAAAGATACGCGCGTTGCGCTGCATCACGGAACTCGCATCGCTCGCCCGACGATCGCTCGTCGCCAGACGGACGATAATGAATCACTTTGAGTCATCTTGAATTGACGTCGCTCGTTTCGCGAATCGTTGTCTTCAGATCTCACGTTAATTGCGCGTCGCGTGATAGTTTGTTATCGCAGATATAAATTATCTGCGCGACAAACAGTCGCGCGACGCCGGATCGCGTCGACATCGGGAAATCTTCCGCTTCTGATGGAGGATTATCGATCGGTGACAAGTGTTTATCGCGACCAGGGTAAAGCGTGATCGGAACTGGCCCATCGCTCTTTCCTCGAATTTTGTTCTGCGTACGTACTTTATTTGTCGCTATACATGTGGAGAGATATTACACAATACATAATACATATCGAACGATTACAAGATTGTCAGTACGACGCAACAGGTCTATCGTTTTTCGAACAACTTCTGAACTAGCGCGATAAGTTGGAGCGAAATCGAAGCGTTTTCTCCAACTTGTTGCACCGGCTGAAGAGTTCCTCGAAAAAGAACAGGCCCAATGTCACGCGTCATATAGAGTATATACCGTGTATATGTGATGTAGGCAGTTACGTTGCGAGTATTATTGTCGTTTATCTTATATGTGCATGTATAATAATAATAATATATACGCGAGAAACTCGCGTCGGTCTCTGCCGAAACGAAAGCTTGACGCAGACGAGCGCATGGTACTTGACGGCTGCTTCAGCGACGTAAATCCCGCGTTGATTCACGATTCATTATGCAAGGATGCTGCCCGTCCTCCTCGCTGCGTCCTTGCCGTCCGCGAATCTACTCTCTCTTTCTCTGACCCAAGAGAGAGAGAGAGAGAGAGAGAGAGAGAGAGAAAGAAAGCGACCGATCGTGCAAGGTGCAGCTAGAAGAAACGGGCTTTCCGCCGAGGCAAAATGCAAATGAAAAATTTTGTCAGTACTCTCGGCTTGTCATCTTATGCGTGTAAGAATACGGAACCGTCATCTTTGCCGTCATAAAGAGAAGACTTCAAACGATGAGGCTTTCTTTTGGCGATGAAAAACAATGCGCTCTCTCCGAGCGGATGAGCCGCTTCGTGAGACTTGAGTAGGATGATCATGAAGAGACGGCCTCTTAGAGTCCTCTTGGGCGCCAGTCGTGTGACTTCCTTTCAAGAGCGGAAATGCGAAGAGTTTCATCGCTCGAAAAATTGCATTGCGCTGAGGAGCCATCATAACTCGCGAAAAGAGCGAACACGTCTCCACGTTTTCTGATTAGAAAATTTTCGCTTTTTACGAGCTCGCTCCGGAGGAAAAGGCCCATCACGCGCGAAACTTTTCATCTTTCGCATTTCTGCTCGTGGGAGAAAGGTTACATGATCGTTACCCTGGTGCGAGGGGAATGGTTTCGAGAAATGTCGACCGCCGGATAGTCGGTAACTCTCGCGGGGGATGCTCCTCGAGAACACTCTTCAATCCAAGTCTGCGAATGAATCCGATCCGGCGATCCGGCAGCGGACCTGTCTTCGTGTGGTTGCTTTCCGAGATTCTTCCGAGTTAGTGCCAAGTGTCAACGTTGAAAAATGATGCGTCAGCGGGGCGCGCTGCTGCACAATTTTCGTTTACGGCCACGGCGACGTGGCCGGCGCTCAGGCAAATTTTATTCCCATCACGTGCGGGGACCGTTTGATGGATCTTTTCGGTCTGTAGGATCTCATCGGGTTGTTGTAGTAGATCACGCGACCGTCTGCGCAGATCGATCCGCCGCAGCAGTCCGGGTAGGGCTTCGAACTGTCGAATCGTTTGTAGCCGCGCCACATGCTCGCTCGCTCGCAGAAGTAATTTCTGCATCTGCAATTGAAATTCCCGGTCAAAAAAGGGCCGGAAATCATCATTAACGGCATTAATTTCGAATCTCCTTCATAAAATAAAGTGTAAAATAAAGGGATCCACCCAGAAAGAATTATTTCAGAGCAAGCGGAATCATCTAAATTTTAGAGGATTTTATTCTTATACGTGGCCTCAAGAAGATTCCTTTTTAGAAGATTAAGAAAAAATTAAGAAAATATTGTAAACACATTATTCTTAAAGTTAGGGGAATTATATGTTATGTACATAATGCCAATTTTTTTCTTTTAAAGACAAATTTCCTCTTATAGGAGACTTAAGAGTCAGCCGACAGGAGTAAGAGCCGGAAAACGGTTAATAAAATTCGGCCGAATTTGTCAATGTCACCCAAAAGAAAGTATTCTACCTGCAAAGTGATTTTTCCCATAGTCTCATATTCTAAGCGAAGCCTTTTACAGGAAAAGGATTCCTCTTTCGATCAAGCGATTAAAATGAAGCACTCGTCTAAAATTTATTAGATATTATTCTGTTTTCCTCTTATTTCAAGAGGATTTCCTCTTGTATCGATGAATTTTCCTCTTATATGAAGAGGAATATGTGTTGGTTTGAATGACGGCTTCTTTCAGTTCAGTTCAGTTCGGTTCAGTTATGCTCTACCTCCAGATATAAACGAAAAAATAACCATATGCTCACGGGTTATAGAACATTTGGAACGCTTTTTAGAAAAGGTATTTTTAGAAAAGGTATTTTTAGAAAAGGTACTGCAATATGTAACGAAGATAATTTACCCATATTTGGTCGAATACAGTTTATAATTTATTGCAAGAAATTGAATAATGTATTCTTTCTTTTAACTATGTTTTATACAATTGGTTATGATGAATATCTTTGTAGCTATGAAGTCCATAACAAAACTGATTGGAAATTTATTCGTTATGATGATCTTACTTTATTCGTGCCTATTTATTGTAGAACTAGAACTAGAAATACATCTATATATAGATATATATATATATATAAATTATATATATATATTTTTTCATTATACATTCTAATACTTTTTTCAAATTAACCAGTATAACTAGTAAGAATAAAATATAGTGAGAATAAATAATAATTTTCTTAAAAGAAGATTAAATAATCTGAGAATCTATAAGAGGAAATTTGTATTTAAAACATAAAAATTTGCATTATACACATAACATATAATTCCTCTAACTTTAGGAATAATGTGTTTATAATATTTTCTTCTTAATCTTAGAGGAATCCTCTTGAGGCCATGTATAAGATGTAAAATCCTCTAAAATTTAGATGATTCCGCTTTTTTTGAAATTAATTGTTTTTAGAGGGATCCCTTTTTTTATTTTATTACATTTTTTATGAAGGGGATTTGAAATTTCGCTCTTAATTCTTGCGCGAAAAAGCCAAGATTCCGATTGAACTCAACAAAGACCGGATGAAAAGCTGAAAAACTCGATAAAGATCTAAAGTTCCCTGTGCCCATATTGTAATCTATTATTCAATCACATCGATTAACAAATGTCTCACGAACGATTGTCCGAATGTAAGCTTTACAACGTTCGGTGTGACGTTCAGTTTTTCTCAAGAGCGCTTACGCAGCTCCGCGGTTTTTCTGAAAACGAGCCTCCTTAGAACAGGCCTAAGGTAATACTTAATTTTGCGACGGACTGAGTGATCATCAGTACTTACGACTGCGACACGTCGTACACTCCTTTCGCGTGGCACGTCACCTTAACGTAGCAATCAACGTATGTCTGGCCCACGGTCAATTGTCTGTTTCCATATATGCATATTTCAGCTGAAACGGATAAATAAAACGGTCACGATTTGAGTTTCACAAAAGTCCCAGATCGAGAATCAGCCGAGATGTCCCTTCAAATGGAAACTTCTCCGGAAATGTCGCGGGTAAATGAACAAAATTCCGAATGCCCCGGCCAGATAAAATTTTTATCTGGCGGATGTGACTCACGAGCAGCCCACGATCATCTGTATACCGTGATGCGCGATTGTCGCTTTTGTTGCACCGAGGGATCGCCCCGTAATTCACGTTTATTTATTTTAGTGTAACGAGCGGGAAAAAATATCTTCGTTCGTGCCGAACCGAACAGGAGGAACGAGCCAGAAACGAGAACTCGGCGGCGAGAAAGGTTACAATGCGACTGAAAACTCGGAGTTCAGACTTCGGAGTTTAGACTTTGTCTAAACATTCATAAAACTCAGTCGAGATAATTAAGAGTCATTGGACTCTGAGCAGAAATCTCCCACAGAAATCTTTTCTCTCTCCTGTCATCCATTTTCATCTGGCGACAGAAAATTCGAGTTGTTTCTTCCGTACACGCACGATTGTCCTCGGAAAGTATTCAACTGCTTCGAATATCAGGAATATTAAGAGGACTCGCGTTGCAACATTAAGCGACTTCGGGATGAACGAGAAAGAACGAGAAATTATGAATCGACCGAGTGAGATATTATCCTCTTCTTCATGGTACTCACGCAGCGCCGAGATTCTCAGGGCGATCGCCAGGACGTACACCAGGATAAAGAGCACGCTCTGCGACGATATCTTCATGATACCGTCGAATTGCGCGGAATGGACGCAACGGAATGCGCGTGTAGCTTCACACAATGCCCTCCGTCGAGTTTTAATGATGCCCCCTGCGAATAGGCTAGCGGCTTTTATACTTTGTACGATAAGCACCGGCCGTGATATCGCAAGATTCGCAATGGACGATCTGCGTCAGTGACGTTGCGCGTTCGCGATTTTTACACGCGACATAATCGCGCTCCGGGTGTATGTGATATGTGTGTGTGTGTGTGTGTGTGTGTGTGTGTGTGCGTGTGCGTGTGCGTGTGCGTCGGGTGTGCGTCGGGTGTGTGTATATGCGTATTCAATGTGTACATATTCCTTCACGATAAATCTCGCAAAAATCCGAGGGACGGAGGGGGGGAGCGAGCGACGCGAGTACTTTCGCAAGCTTCACGGACGGAAGACAGAAAACAGGAGTAGTGGGTCAGTCTGGGAAAAAAATTGATTCAGGCGATTTCGTTGCGTTTCACAGAATCGGAATCGACCACCGTGCGTCGGTCGCTTCGGGAAACAAACAAGAGCACAACGCCGAGTCACTGACACGTTTGCGTTCGATTTACGCATTCATCGCCGATTCGTTTCAAGCGGGTGCGCCGTACGGAAGAATAAGGAGCGACTTTGCGCGTCTCTCCCGTCCGAGTCCGAGTCCGAGGGAAGAGAGAGGAGGGGGAGGGAGAGAAAGAGAGAGAATGAGAGAGAGAGAAAATTCTTCCATGATGCGCGTGGTGAGAGACACGGGTAGATAACGAGGGTGATAAAACCCGTGTTGTAAATCGCTTCTCCTCCCCCATCGTTGCGCGAGTAAAATGCGGCGCGTGAATGCACGCGCGAAATGCGTCGGCTAGCTGCGTTAACGCGATGCGACGATAACGTGTGGCCCTATTTTCAGCGTCTCCGACGCTCCGACGATCGTCTCGTTTATTTTGTGATCACCGTTTTACACGGAGACGAGGAGTACCGCGCGCTCGTTACGGCTTGTCCGCGGAAAAACCAAAAGGCAGAGAACGGGAAAGAGAGAGAGAGAGAGAGAGACGCCAGTAGCGAGAGAGACTCGCTCGGTATCGAAACTTTCCATCGTCTCGTAATGGGAGAGGCGGGGGGGGGGGCAGAGAGAAAGAAGAGAAAGGAGGAGTGCGAATGGGAAAAGCGAAGCTGGGAAAAGCTGAGCAATTGTTTCTTTCCAGGCTCGCGGAACAACGAGCTGTCGGAAAAGCTCAACGATTGTCTTCTTTCAGGGTGAGCTTCCAGCCGGAAATGTGCTCGACGAGGCTCAAGTCCGAGGAGATCTACCGCGAGCGCATCACCAGCGACAGCCTGTTCACGGCGCGAACGCGCAATCCCGCCAATTCCGCAAACTCGACGAACGGGAACGGTAATCAGCAACAGCAGCAGCAACAACAACAACAACAACAACAACAACAACAGAACACCTCGTCAGCGCTGCAGAACGACGTGTTCAGGAACGACGACCTCTTCGGCCCGCCGCCGTTACCTTCCAAGTCAGACTCGAAGCGCGCCAAATCAAAGGTCTCGTCGCTCTTCGACGACTCCGACTCCGGCGACGACCTCTTCTCCGCCGCGAGCTCCGGCTCCAGATCGCAGAAGAGCACGGATTTCCTCGCCACGGTCGCGTCGACTGACCGGGCGAAGCCGACACCGCGAGGAGTTGGCCTCTTCGACGACGACGTGGATATATTCGGCGGCAAGGACGTCCCGGACGTCGATCTGTTCGGTGCGACTTCGAAGTCGAAGTCGAAGGACGCGCCGGACAGTCTGTTTGCCAGTCGTGGCCGCGAGCCGGTGACGTCGAAGAGCAGCAACGTCGACAAATTACCAAGTGCAAGGATGGAGCCGAAGAAGATGAGTTTGTTCGACGACGATGACGACGATGGCGACGACGGTGACCTGTTTGGCGCGAAGTCGAAGCCGAAGGTGGAGCGAAAGACTGATCTCTTTGAAGACGAGGATGACCTGTTCCTGTCAGTCAAGTCGAGCGACAAAGAATGCTCTTCAAGGAAAAATGCGTCAGCTGAACCAAAGAGCGACGTCTCCATGGACGTTTCCATCCTCGACGTTGAGAGGAAGAGCAAAGACGCTCCTGCGGAGGACAAATTATTCTCCAGCTCCGCGAAGAATCACAGTCTTCTGTTCGAAGATGACGACTACAGCGATCTGTTCGGCAAAAAGGAGACGGTGGCGCGTAAGAACGATGAAATGAAGCCAGAATCGAAGAAGACCATAAAAAAAGACGTTGTCGAGGAAGTTGCTAAACTTCCCGAAGAGAACTCGAGTTCGATGGAGGCCTCGAGCGTGGATCGCGATGTGGAAGCATCCACAAACTTGAATATCGTCATAGATCGACTGGAGGACGAAGTAAACTCTGAGAGAAATAAAACAAGCGTCAAAGAGACGGAAGATGTCGACGGTACGGCGAAGAAAAGTCCACCGAAGACATTGAACATCCGAACAACCTCGTCGTCACCAGAGGACGTCGGTCAGACGCCGCGAAAGTCGGTGTCCGGCAAGATAAAGAATCTGATGGGCAAGATGGGTGATCTGAAAATACTTTCGCCCATGGACGCGCCGCCGTTGTGGAGGAAGAGCGAGGACCGCACGGATGAGGACGAGGACGCCGTGGACAAGGACAGCGACAGCGGAGGTCCAACCACCGCCGGGCGTATCTCGCCTCCGAGCGTGTCAGGTAATGACCTATTTGTGATCAACCAATGCATATTTCAAACGTGACACTTTAGCTTGAGATGTATCTTAGCTTGTTATTTTTAATTTGATTCAGAGTTCTTTCTTGCACAGAATACACATTTTATCCGCAGGATATCTTTAAAAGTAATTCAAGTTTTAATCGAATCGGGGGTTGGAGATAATTTTTAAAAGTAATTTAAATTTTAATCTTAAACTTTTTTGGAGACCGTTTTTAGAGATTTTTCAGACCAAATCAGAAAGTGAGGAAGTTTAAAATTAATTTAATAATTGAATGATTCACCTTTAGAAGGCAGTACGCAGAAAGAGTCTTCGTACTCTACGATCTCCACCGCCAGCAATGCGGAAGTGGCCATAAATTTTGACGACTTGGCACAAGTGGAAACATTGTCTACCGCCGCGTCCAAGGTACTCGTCCAATCTGCGAGAGACGAGCTATTTCTATTATCACCCTTCGCATCTCCTTACTCATCGTGGCTGCTTTGTTTGCAGAGTCGTGTGAGGATCCAGGCGAAGCGTCGTCCCCAGAGCCGACACGCTCGCAAGTCCGCGCTGCGGCACAGCGGCATCGATTTCGACACAGTCGACAATGCGGACGACTCGCAAGAGGAGAGTCACGCTAGTACCTTTTCGCACACGTCCAGCAAGGAGTCCGCCGTCCCGACGGCGACTACCGATCGTTTGAACGTCAATGACAATGCTCAACCCCGTGCGCTCGATCCCGCAACGGACGACAAGTCCGAATTAGGTAGCGTCAGCAAAGAGAGCTCGATGAGCGTCAACAAGAACACTTTACTATCGCCGTCCACCGACGAAGAAGACCTGTTTGACGTGCCGCCGGACTTGCCGGAGGACCCGCAGAAGGAGGACACGTTGTTCGGCAGGGCGCCGATACTCTCGCCGGTCGGCAGTGAGCAATCCGAAAAGACCCCCGTCGGTGCCGAGCCTTTGACAGACAGCGTGATCAGAAACATCGGAGCAGAAGAGATCAGCGTGATGGACGGCAAGAGCAATAAGGAACAGGAACCGGGTGAAACGACGAGAACGGAGAAAATGGATAATAAGTCGAAGAGCCGCGAGAGGAAGGATGAGACATGTAGAAAGGAAGTGGACGATGAGCTGGACGACGAGGAGGCTAAGAAAGAGTCTGGCGAAGAGCCGACCGATCCTCTGCGAGATAGCAGCCATGACCCGCTGAAGAATCCTAGTCAGTTGTTCGCGTTCGTTACAAAGACGCCGTCGCCGGATAAGGGCAAAAGTCTACTGTTCTCCGAAGATGACAGCTTATTCTCTAGCGGCATGAAGAAACCAAACGATGAGCGGCTACAGAAGAAAGATATTTTGGATTTGTTCGCGGACGACACAGTCGGCGATCTCTTCTCCGCGCCATTGAAGCGAACGGTGAAGAAGCAGCTGCGAGACACGAAGATCAGCTTGTTCGACGATGTCGAGCACAACGACGAGGACGACAGTTTGTTCGGTAGCACGACCATGAAAACGCGTCTCGACGCACCTCAGAAGTTAACCGCCGCCCAGGCTGGCCGTAAGAAGAACAATATCTTCGACGATGATGACGACGACGACTCCAGTCTGTTCGTCGAGTCATCCGGCCATTCGCAGAAGTCGGACAGCGCGTCCATCTCCGAGTCGAGGCATGACTTTGCCGAGGCCGACACCGGCCATAAGAGCTCGAACTTGAAGAACATCTTCGGCAACGACGCACCGTACGACGATGACGACGACGACGTCGATATTTTCGCCACGAAGCCACGAGTTGTTCCTAGGAAAGTCGCACCGTCCAAGTCGCTGTTCGCGTCGGATGACGACGACAACGATGACGACGATGACCATATTTTCGGTAAGTCGTCCGCTTCGGTAGACTTCAAGCCAAGAACGGTGATCACAAGCTCGCGACCGGCTGTGAAAAAATCGATCACCAGGGACCTGAAGAAGACGGCCGAGAAGATCGTCGAGGATCCGCTGAGTCTTCTTCAAGACGATTAACTCCGTGATAAGCACTGATGAGATTTTATATATATATAGGTATATATATATGTTTTTATTTATATATTTTGTCCCGTCACTACACTGACCAATGATAAATCATGTGAGAAATTCTTCACACGTCGTGACGCGTAAGACTGGACAGAGTGCAATTTTCTTCAAGCAACAAAGATCTTTCCTCTTTCTGCTCTCTTATCTATAATATTTATTATTATTTCGCCAGTCGGATGAATTTATTTTCTTTTTTCCCGACACGTGTGCCACATTAGATCGTCTTAATCTCCACTTTGTCTTCACTATTTGTCAACCGATTGCTGCATCGGCAGATTGGAGCGCTGTCCTCAGCATTTCTTCGTAACACACAATTTCGTAACAACGAATGTAACTTAAGTTGAAGCTTGTGCTATTAATGTCATCGAGATGAGTGCATAAAAAAAAAGGCATGTGCCTTGTTCTCGCGCAGTAGATGTATATTTTCTGTACCGTCGCCTCCCTCGTATCCCGTGTGTAAATTCGCCTCTTATCAGCGACTTCGCGTCGTGTATATATTATATTCTGATGAGTCACACACACACTCACTCACTCATACACACATACACACACACACACACGCGCGCGCGCGCACGCACGCACACGCACACGCACGCATTAGTGCAATAAAATTTATTCAACAAATATGTTAAATGTCGTGTGCAAACCAGTCGTTATCCTTCTTTATCCCATGTACTACTCTAAAAAAAAAGTATTCTATTTGCAAAGTGATTTTTCTCATAGTCTCATATTCTAAGCGAAGCCTTTTACAGAAAAAGAATTCCTCTTTCTATAAAGCGATTAAAGTGAAGCATTCGTCTAAAATTTATTAGATATTATTCTGCTTTCCTCTTATTTCAAGAAGATTTCCTCTTATATCGATGAATTTTGCTCTTATATGAAGAGGAATATGTTGATTTGAATAACGGCTTCTTTTGTTCAGTCATGCTCTACCTCCAGATATAAAAGAAAAAATAATCATATGCTCATGGGTCAGAATATTTGGAACGCTTTTTAAAAAAGGTATGTGTGTTGCTGTAACATATAAAGAAAGATAATTTATCTATATATGATCAAATATAGTTTATAATCTATTGCAAGAAGTTGAATAATATATTCATTCTTTTAACTATATTTCATACAATTAGTTACGATGAACATCTTTGTACTTATGAAGTCCATAACAAAACTGTATGAAAATTTATTTATTATGATGATTTTATTTCATTCGTACCTATTTATTATAGAAGTGGAGCCAGAAGTACATCTATACAGGTGTCCCATTTTAATGTCCCACCCCAAATAACTCTTCAGTATTGAAGTTTCAAGAAAAATGATCTGAATAAAAGTTGTAAGGATTTAAATGAGCTACCTTATGATGACCTTAACTTTAACCTTGACCTCTATTTTCAAGGTCATTTGAAGGTCAACTTGCGTTTTTTAAATGGGGACCCTTATTTTTTATTACACCGTTTTTTTCTACTAGTTAATTTGAACAACTTTTGTCTAAAACATTTTTTTATTTGTCTACTATTTTTTGAGATATTTGAGGAAAACTTGATAATTTTTTCAATATTTAACTTACGATATCTCGCTAATTATTTCGCAAAAGAAAAAGTGGTACTAGACTTTCTTGCTTTATTTAGTCTCAAGAATATATTGTTACAATAGTGCCTTGACTTTTGTTAACTTACTGATTTTTGGAAATTTCAAAATCATCAAATTAACAAAAAGCAGGGCGCTATTGTAACAATATATTCTTAAGACTAAATAAAGCAAGAAAGTCTAGTACCACTTTTTCTTCCGACAAATAATTAGCGAGATATCGTAAATTAAATATTGAAAAAGTTATCAAGTTTTCCTCAAATATCTAAAAAAATATTAGACAAATAAAAAAATGTTTTAGACAAAAGTTCAAATTAACTAGTAGAAAAAAAACGGTGTAATAAAAAATAAGGGTCCCCATTTAAAAAACGCAAGTTGACCTTCAAATGACCTTGAAAATAGAGGTCAAGGTCAAAGTCAAGGTCATCATAAGGTAACTCACTTAAATCCTTACAACTTTTATTCAGATCATTTTCTTTGAAACTTCAATACTGAAGAGTTATTTGGGGTGGGACATTAAAATGGGACACCCTGTGTATACCAAGTTTTCCAAAAACAACGGATACCCCCTATCTCAGAATCTATATATTATAGGGAAAAATGATCCGAACAAAAGTTTTAGGGTTCATAAAGTTCTGTTTTCTTGTGACTTCAAATTTGACCTTGATCTCGACCTTAAAGGTCATTTGAAAGTCAATTTGCGTTTTTTAAATAGGGGAGACCCCTATTTTTTATTACACTGTTTTTTTTCTATCAATTAATTTGAACAACTTTTGTCTAAAACATTTTTTTATTTGCCTAATATTTTTTGAGATATTTGAGGAAAACTTGATAACTTTTTCAATATTTAACTTATGATATCTCGATAACTATTTGTCGGAAGAAAAAGTAGTACTAGACCTTTCTGCTTTATTTAGACTCAAGAATATATTGTTACAATAGTGCCCTGATTTTTGTTAATTTCATGATTTTGAGATTTCCAAAAGTCAGTAAGTTCAAGGTCAAGGTCAAATTTGAGGTCACAAAAAAACAGAACATTATGAACCCTAAAACTTTTGTTCGGGTCATTTTTCCCTATAATGCATAGATTCTGAGATAGGGGGGGAGGTCCATTACTTTTGAAAAACTTGGTATATTATTTTTTACTATATACGTTATAATAATTTTTTCAAATTAACAAGTATAATCAGTAAGAATAAAGTACAGGAAGAATAAATAATAATCCTCTTAAAAAGAGATTAAATAATCTGTGTATAAAAGGAAATTTATATTAAAATCAATAAGATTTGCGTTATACATATAACATATAATTCTTCTAACTTTAAGAATAATGTTTATATTTTCTCCTAATTTTAAAGGAATCCTCTTGAAGCCGTATATAAGAGTAAAATCCTCTAAAATTTAGATGATTCCGCATGTTCTGAAATTACTTTTAATCCCGAAACTTCGATCAGCGGAACAACTCTATATATCTCAACATGTATCTCATAATTTATTATTTATGAAATATAAGATGTTATGATATATCGCATATACCATAATGCGATGAAACGTAAAAATATGTTACGATTGGTTCACCGAAAGAAATTTATTCTTATTTTAAGATTTTCCCACTTATAGTTAGAATATCTCCCTCTACAATAGGCACCAAAAGAATTTTCTTAATTTAAGTGGGGAATCCTCTTAATATGAGAATAAGCAGATATTCTTAACAGTATAAGCAAATATTCTTAATGTACATATGCCTATAATATAATCCCAGCAAACACAATGTTACATATAACGTATATGTTAGTTGTAATTTCATATTCAACAATATAACTGTTATATAACACGTGTGTTATATAACAGTTACATTGTTGAGTAGGAAATTATAGCTAACATGTACGTTACATGTAACATTGTGTTTGCTATGGAATAGTACTATTTATTTAAATAATTCAAAATAACACAAACACGTATTATTACACTACTATATTTTTATTACATTATATTATATTATATTATATTATTACATTATATTTTTATTACATTTTGTTACATTATATTATATTATAAAGCATGTCTGAATGATATATATGAGTTGCCATCAGCTCCTATTCTATAAGAAATTGGATAAAATGAAATTAAATCATGGTAATTTTTATAAAACCACTGCATAGTTTGAGTCACTTCATAGCAATGTAGATGGCTATTGAACCCTACAGTGTGTAATCCTAATAAAATTAAACCTGCGTTATTTATTAGTTGTGGTTTTACAATCCAATGCACTAATCCGAACGAAGGCAAATCGTCATCAGAATTTATCGCAAGCACCATATTTTTTTCATACATAGTATTACAGATTGTTGCTTTTGTAACTACTGCAGAATTTTCAAGACCAGGAGGTAATATTGAAAATCATTATAGTTATAGCAGTCTGTTATAATTGTTTCTTTAGAATGGAAAACTATATCCGGTGAGAAGCCTTGTTTAGATAAAAAACGAGCAGAAAGACTAAGAGAATATTTTTTAGCCACTGTTAGCGGTAGGTTTCTTCGCGATTGTGTTGCCTTTGCTACTTGCTTGACTACTGACCGATGTTTTCCTTCCATTCGCATTGACCATACATGAATCAGAGGACCAGTTAAATTTGAAATCCTGGGATAGTGCACCATAAAATGGTGTTTAGGTTTTAATGACTTGGATAGTAATTTGCAATATAAATCATAATGCTCAGCGATCAAAGTTGCAAGATAGATATTTACATTCCCATCAACAAAAGGAGCAGTAATAATATATACAATTTGGACAAGACAAACGCACAAATGCCATATTTCCTCCGCCTCAGGCACCAAATCTCCAATCATGAGACCAAAATGTCGAACAAAAAACAACATTTCTGGTACAAACATTTTCAGTTTCTTCCTTCGAATATGATCAGATGTTATAATGGATGGCTTATTACCTCTCTCGAAACCATAATCAAAATTTTGTATTCGATCATTAACATTATCAAGAGAAAAATATCGTTTAATAAAAATCAGTTCTTCTAAAATAGCACATAGATCGTAATGACAAACACCTTCTAATAAGTCGTGCATTATATCTACAACAGAATTACTAGTAACGTGATAGGTTTGAAGTTCATTGCAAATACATCGATCTTTAATACCTGTTAATGCTACATTGTTAGTGACAATATCAGCTTCGTAATTTTGCCTGTCACGTAAAAGCAAATACATTTTCTCTCGTTTGTCTTTTTATTGTTTCCTTATGTTCTTTACAAAATCGACAGTAAAAATGTGCGTTGAAAGATTCAATAAAACCGGTAATAGAATGGAATCCTAAATTGTCTGCAAGAAGTAAACACAAACAAAAGTAAACCTGTTGGTAACCAATTGCTGTACGCACTAGTATACCATTGCCTTCGAGGTTCTTGATTTCATCTATAACTGGACGAAAAGTACTTTCATTGTTCATATGTCTGTCATCTGATAAAAATATGGAGGATACGGAAATATTTTCAAGAGTGGGCAGATAGTGCTGAGGAATGCAGGAAATTTGATAATACTCCGAGACTGTGAGCACCTGAATGCGAACCTGTTTGATTATCAGGTTCCATACTATCAAAGTATAAACACAAAGGCAACAATAAACGGTTATTGAAATATACATTTTTCGTATTTTGCCATAAAGGACTCTGTATTATATTAGTAAACTCGTTTGAATGATTTAGACTATCAATATTGGCCTAATACTATTGAAGACACCTGGCAACTCTAAAAATTCTTTCAAAACATGCCTCATTGGAATGTATTGACCTGTCAATTCTATTGGTGTTAAAA